GAAAGCAGAGGGACTCCGGTACAGCCAACAAAGTATAGATGGTTAATACGATTGAATGCGATTAATTTAATAATTATTGAAGCGGTCTTAATGCGTCGGTTTTATATGAAAAGCACAGCTCTGCTCTGTTGTACACGTAGACAGAAATATTCACACTTCAAGCTCTTGAAACTGCACATAAACATACATATGTCTTTACGTTTTTAAAATTTTTTTTTTTAAATTTTTGTGCACAGTTTTTAAAAGTTGGAGACGCATCCCATTCTTGCTTTTGTAGGAAACTGATCAGCATTGGTGCCTTGATGGGTTTTTAGCGTTTTCCGGTGGTTGCTGGTTATTTTGGTTTTCTAAGGTAGACACCCGACTCACTCGGCCCTATAAAATAGAAACGAAATAAGTGAATATCTGTGTGTATAGTATTTATTCAACATAAAAAGATGTACACAACAAATTCAGAAGCCTCGACAACAACAAGAGCAGCAGCATTGACAATAACAATAATTGTATTTACACATAATTGACCATAATCCCCAGCAGCAGCCAGAGCAGAGTTTTTGTGCCAAAGTTGACTTCAATCCATTTGCCCACCCTACTCTATAAAAATGACCGCAGGCGAAAATTGTATCTCGCTTGTTGTCGAGGCAGTCTAGTTGTTGCTGTAGCTGATGTTAGTATTTTTGTCAATGGTGTTGGCGAAATTTAAGTTCCAGAGATTCGGATTCTCGCTTTTTGTTGCCAGAGTTCTTGTTGTTGTTGTATTTAAATTTAAGAGGCGCCACATCGCCTCTGTCACTTTTTCCTGGTCGGAACATTAAATGAAATGAAATAACTTGGCCACGAACTCTCAACTGCTGACATCTGTGACAATATGGCGGCCTACCCATAGCGGTCAACTGGTCAGCCAGCTGCTTTATGTGGCAATCTGTTGGACATTTTTATTGCACTCCCGAAGCAACGTCACAAGGTCGTTGGAATTTGAAGAGCCTATATGTGCGAATATGTTCTGTGTGTAAATTATTTGGTAATAACGGCTGGGAGTTCGGCCCCATGTTAGTTGATGGTAACTAGAACGTTTCGCATGTTTATGGATTGGCAAAGCAACATCAACAACAACATGAACACTAACACCAAAACTAGTGCTGGCACAGGGCAGACAAAAAGCAAATCCACTTCATGCCCGAAAATTAGTTTTTAACCCACAAAATAATCCCGAATGACATAAGATGGCCTAACGCCCAACAGCACAACGAACAGAACATTTCACAGTTGCTACAACTCGCAGTCAACGTCGCCGCCGTTTGGCGGAAGTTGTAAAGCTGCCATTTCTCGACCATGTTGCTGTTCCTGCCTCTCTTTCTCTGTCTCTGGCTCTGTCTTTCTGCCACTGTGCCGCTAGTGGCTGGCTTACGGGCAATGTGAAGCGCCAACAATTCGCGAGCTCGTAATGCGGTCGTTTTACAACGCTGTTGTTGGTTTTGCCTCCGCTGCCAGCTATTATTGTTGTTATTTCTGCTGTTGTGAAGAGAATTTGTTGTATCAACTTTTTAAAGTGGCGGGGAGTGGGGACCCACAGCTACAGCAACAGCAGCGGCAATGGCAGTGGCAGCGTCAGAGGGAACGGCAACAACACCGGCAACTGCAAGCAGCTGCAACAACACAACTCAGCACTGCCCCCTTCATGGTCATAATTTATTAAAGCCTGCACCAGAGTGCTTCAGTCGACCAGAAGCCCACAACACACAACATACAACACTCAACACACAGCGCACAGCGCACAGTACACAGAACACAGAACACAATTGAAATTTAAGCAGCAGCGAAGAGCAAACGAAGTTGCAGAAAATGTGAAACATCGGTATTGGTAGGTGGTAGGATAAAGGGCAAGACGGCACATAAGAAAAGCGAAATGGTAATCGAAAAATGTGCCACACCAACCAAGCAACCCCGACCGACACAAACAGCGCCAAACGACAAAGCCCCCAACGTACCGCGATATCTTCTGGGCATTTCATGCGGGTGGCTCCAACGATTCAGTGGGCAGTCCCGACGCAGTCGATGGCTTGCTGCTTTCCTTTTATTTCCTTCTTTCTATTTTTTATTTTTTTGCAGTCAAACTTTGGACGTCGCGCGAAACTTTCGCCTGGAAAATAATTCATGAAACATGGCGGCAACATGCGAACGCGAAATTTCTGGCGAATCTGATTGTGACACAAACGAATTGTTCTGGTTGTCGTCGCTGTTGGTGTTGCGTAGCGGTGGGGTCGGTGGAATAGAGTGTAGATGGAGGTGGAATTGGAGGTGGAGATGGAGGTGGCGATTGCCATGATGGTGGAACGTAGTGCATATTAATGTGCCTATTTTTTCCAACAGCACGTCTGCGTTTTTCCTCTTGACATTCAAATTTATGGTGTATCCCAAAACAATTGTTATTGTGTTTTGAATTCCAGCTTGAGTTGTGCTTTTAAGTGATTTCGAATGAGTCACATGGGTCAGTAATTTGTTTGAGCAGCGGTGGAGAGCTGGGCAACGCGGTTGTCACTAATAATTTTCTAAGCTACTTGTAGTACAACAATTTAAGCACAATATCCAGGCAACCAATAAATATATAACAGCAAGCTACCCACAGCCCAGCCCCCTTTCACGACTCCTGTCCCAAACATTGTTGCAGTTTGCACTCAACTTTTATTTATTTGTGTTTCCGCAAAGGATTCGGGAGTCGGCAGTCGTTTGCAGAAAAACTTTTACTGCCAAACTGCCCCAAACTTACGTCCATCTGCTATTTTCGTTATTGTGTAGACGGCAGTAGGCCACTTCCTGCAGTCGTCCTCTGGCCGAGTCTACCATCAGCTACGTCTGCATGCAATTCTTGAATTTTTGAATGCCTTTCTTTTACTTTTACTTCGTTAGCCCTATGCGCCCTTCCCCAACGCCCCGGCACACTGTAGGTCGGCCGTCCGCCCGCTTGGTTACAATATGCAAACGGTCATTTTGTTAATGAGCGCAGGGTAGCGGGCACAACTTTACAGGCCATCCGGCGGATGGCAGGGTGCGCTGCATTCGCAGTTCAAAGACCAGTGGCCGGATATACTATTAAGTTGACTGCTTAGATAGCAGCCGCCAGCATAGAGTGCGACTGGATCGCTAACTCTCTGACGGCGGATGGAATGACTTGGTTTATTTTTATGTAACGAAATGAAATTGAAATGAATAATTTATCAACCGTTACCGACTGAGAGTCCACAAGCGTACTTGTCAGAGTCATTGGCGGTAACATTCTTGCTGTGGAGGCCGCTGCATACAGATATTACCAAATAAAAGTGAGTGGCAGGAGAGTCTAACTTAAGACCCAATATGTTGATTTTCGAATCTGTCCTGTCCTAATAATTTTTTATAAGATAACATCCAACTATATAAGACTTAATTGGTATAGTACTTATCTACTAGCTAACTGGTCTAGAGATTCCACGAATACATGTGTATAAATAAGAATGTGCCTTTGAAACGGTTATGCAGATAAAATAAATCATGTTAATTATAGTAAACGTAAGTATAGCAAACGGTCGATTTGAACTGGACAAATATTTGTCAACCAGAACGAAAATGCACTAGAATCAAAGTTTTACTGACAAATATTTTGCAATTTGGAAAAGCAAACACTATACTCACATGCAAGAGGAAAAGTATACCCTCGGAGTGCAATCTCAAATGCTTACTCAGAACTTCTCTGTTAAGAGAGCTAATAAATAAATAAATGTTATAAAGTAAATAACATGTTCAAGTCTGAAGAATTGCACTGCTCGCCAACAGTCATCCTGTCGGACGTCAAGCACTACGAAAAATATTAGAGTTCATTGTGTGCCACAGGCTTCATTAAATTTAAATGTCGCTGCAGAACTTATAAAATTTCATTAATACGGAGACGATGGTCCCCCTTTGGACGATTCTTAGATAATATAACTTTTGTTTATTAGTGTTACAGTGCAGTTTGACCTTAACGTCAACTTCCTCAAATCTCCTGTGGAAGCATTGCAATGTCTGTCACGTTTCAGCGTTCAAAATATAAGACTGTACCTTTTACTCATTGGGGATGTAATTCTTTTTATACTAACTAACTAGAGCCACCGATAGTAGTTATACCCGAACCACCGCCTGCCAGTTCCTACTCTGATGATTACTATTTTCATTTACGTCCAAGTAGTTGACATAATTATAGTAAATTAGCGTGCACATCGAAGGGTGCTGACTAGCTTATTTTAATGCGCTTCGATCACTGTGCGATAGTCAACTTAGCTGCCTCGCTACTAGCTAGGAGCACAAGTCGTAGATAAGTTGGATCTGCCACAACAGCTCTGCAGTAATTTTGATGTATTTTGCGAGAAATCAGAATTACCTTAAACCAACTCGCTGGCATATTTGATGTAAAAAGATTGAAAGTCTTAATAATAACAATTAAACTATCGACTGTCTGTCCATGTAAATAATCGCATGGATATAGGAAACGATTAGACCCACATTAACAAACTTTATTTTTGGACTCTTTTAGTTCCCATTTATGTGTAATTCTCACGGTCGATTTAAAATTTAAAAGTAAATAAATATGCACATTCGTTTTCAGTCGACCTATTTAATGATATTAGCACAAACAGAAAATAATTGAGAACTTTTGTGAAATATTTCTAAGAAATACTGGAGCAATTAAAGCATCGATATTTCTACGTTCATACTGAGCAATAACATACAAGTAGGAGTATACTCTACTTTCTGCTGGCAAAGTATAAGAAGAATTTGTGTGAATTGAGTTGGGGGCTCTGATATAGATAAGAAATGTTCAGATGGTGGATACAAGCCCAAAATGCAACACTCTCCATGCAGTACTTTGGATTATTCGATGACTATGACAAATATTTGTGTAAATGCATTTGAATAAATACAATATAATATAGCTCATATCATATTACTCTTAAAGAGGAAAGCCTGTTAACCTTATCGTTTTTTTACAGGTTCAACCATCAAAGGAGTGGTCGCCATCTTAAATTGCATCCTTGCCCGTCAATTATGTTTTGAGGATGCTTCGTGCTCGGCAATACTGGAAATTATACCACGCGTATGTGGCCCCATACCAGGTAAGAAAGTCGTTCGGAATAGGGGTGTACGAATACATAATAATTTGTAGGCTTAAGCAATTTAGTTATTCCTATTTATTTTTTCCAAAATGACTTCCATTTGGCGGCTTGAACCCTTGGTATTTGCCATTTTCTTGAAGCAATCAACGCTGATTACGGACGCGACTCTTCGGCCATTTGAGAATTAATTTTTGTTAGTTTGGTTTGTTCCCTGTTATTTACTCAGTGCCCGGCGCTCAGTCCCAGCCGTTGTGTTGTTTTGGCAACTGTGTAATTATTTCAGCAGTTCCTCCGCGAGCGCGCGTGCAACAAAACAGTAAATAATGGCGTATACTTAAAGCGCAACATGCGAGCAACGCGTCGCGTCGCGTCGCCACCGAAAACATTTGAATATTCAAATGCCCCTGAGAACGTAGTAGTGGTCGGCCGTCCGTTCATCCGTTCGTCTGTTTATACTCTGTACATGAAATGTACAAGAGTATATTAGGTTTGCGGGAGCTGAAAAATGTAACAGGCAGAAGGAGGCGTGGCAGACCCCACAAAGTATATATATTATTGATCAGCGTGACAAGACGAGTCGATCTAGCCCTGTCTGTCTGTCTGTCCGTCTGTCCGTCTGTCCGTCCGTATGAACACCTGGATCTCAGAGACTATAAGAGATAGAGACACCAAATTTTCCACAAAGATGCGTTATGTGTGTATTCTATACGAGTTTGTTTTATTTTTTTGATTTTCCCCCCCACTTCCCCCCTATGGGGGTTTTCCCGATTTTCCATTCGTATAATCGCCTATATCTCGGAGACTATAAGACCTAGGTACACCAAATTTTAGTCCAAGATGCCTTGTGTGAATACGCAGAAAATGTATATTTTGGAATTTCCCTCCCTCCCCCCTCTCCACCGCAAATGCGATTTTCTCTAACTCCCGTAATTCTTGGAATTTCGAACTAAAATTTTACAAATACCCCCAGTTAGTTATTATGTGTCCGTATGCCAAATTTCATTATGATAGACCGATTTACCAAGAAGTTATAGCCATAAATATATTTGCTGCAGCAGCGCTGCTGCAGCGCTGCTCAAACGCTGCCCGCGGCTGTTGTTGATGTTGCTGTTTGGTTGACTGCGAAAATGCTTACACAGACACGAATTGATGCGCATAGGCATACATACACTCACACAGACGCAATTGCTATGTAAATGTGCAATTATACACCCTTTACGTGAGTTCGAATACCGAGAGAGGTAAAATCGATCCAATTTTTTTTTTATTTATTTTTTTTTTTATTTTCTATAATTATTGTAAACATATGTACAGAGTATTTCAAAGTCGGGACACCCGACTTTAGCTTTTTTACTTGTTTTGATTTCAATTTTTTTTCCTCTGCACACACGTGCTTGTGTGAGTGAGTGTGTGGGTAAGCTCCTGTACTTGTTTGGCGCACATAACCTAAAGGTGCAAAATCGTGGCGGTTGCTGGCTGTGCGGCAGCAACTGGGTCGCATACAAAAGCGTTAAACAAGTAAAGAAAAAGTTAATTTATAAATTATTCAGTAATTTGTTTTAGAGTTGGCTTTGGTCGCCACCCATCTGGAGGTGGGTACACATTTCTTTTGTGCATGCACTGCCACTGCCACCCACACTTGAAAGCTTGAAAGCTTTTACTTTGATCCTTGCCAACTCATTCAAATATGTACGTATTTAAGTTTTCAGCGCAACTATTCCTTCTTCGGATGTCTTATGAAAGCCACGTCACTTGCGCTCGTCGGCTTCCTGGGCGTACGGTGCGTATGAGTGTTTCTGTGTGTCCGTTCGAATGTGTGTCGTGCATAAGTCTAATCTTTTATTTAATTATTAATGTCTAGTCCGCCCACTGTCAGGCAAACAGTAGCGCGTTGTGGTGCTCTGCACACTTTCCCACAAGCCCTTTCGTCTTCTTCTTTTAACTTATTTTCTTCAGAGGAGAAACTGCGTTTAAAATTTAACATTAGCTGCTCTACCTGACCATTTCATGCACACCTTAGACGAATACATTTACCTTATATATTTATTTAGCCCGCTGTTTAAATAGCAATGCAACCTATGCCTGAGGCTTTGACCACTCTACGCTCAATATGAGATGATCGTAACCATGACCATTCAAAATTTCAATGGCGGCAGCTGCATCCTTGCGAAACTTAAAATGCACATAGGCGAATCCCTTGCACAAACCCGTATTCTTTTCGCGGGCCAGATACATCTTTGTATGGGGGCCGATTTTCTTTACCAGCTCCTCCAGATCAGCCTCTGTCATGGACTCCGACAAGTTCGAGATACGAACGGCTGAGGAATCGTCCCGTTCACGGGATATACCCTTGCCGCCATCCTTCATGAATGGGGGCACGTATTTGCCCGTCTTGCTTGAATCACCGACCACAGCTGCAGCCGCTGCCGTTGCCTTATTCTCCATCAGTGTTTTGCTGTCCATCGATGTGCCCTTGTATGGACAATTGACAGACCAGTGCTCGCCATTGCATATCCGGCACTTGGCTATGTTCTTTGAGGCATCCAGCAGTGGCTCATGATTCTGTTCGAACTCTTTGGAACCAATAAAGTGCATGAAAATCTCCTCTGCTGCCATTGTGGTGTGTGAGTTGGGACCAGGTTTGTCCTCACGTGAGTCACCAAACTTCGCCCAGGTGCGACGACGCGCCACTGATTTGGGAACTATTTGTTTTTCCACCTTATACGTGCGGACAACCTTCGTTTTCTTACCCTCCTCATTGTATTTGTACTCGGTGACATATTTGTAGCCACCCTCAGTGTACTCTTTGGAGGGTGGCAGACCATCTACATAGTCTTCAACTTCGTCAGCCCATGATGTTTTTATAGATTTCATAGCGGCCTTGAAAAAATTTCATTATTATCTGCACATAACACTCGTAACAATCACATTTAAAATCAATACATACCATTGAAAATAATTTACTTTAGATTGAAAAGTTGCGAACAAGGTTTGCTATAATTTTTAGGAATTTTTTTGGGAGTATGTTTTGAAAAGGCATTCAAGGCCAACTACTAGGTAGAAAAAAGCAAGTCGATTGCTAGAGCGACTCGGTTTACGTCAGACTTAGCAATAATGGAAACAAATAGTCCATTGCCCTGGTGCAATATCAGGTTATTAAATTTCTTTTGCAGCAAATAATATATTCGTCCGCCGTACAAAACAAACACTCAATAGCTTAGTAAGCACACATAGTTTCTATCGCAAAAGTGTACAATTATAAAAATAGTTTGAATATTAATGAATTTTTCTTTTCCTTCATCGATTTTTTTTTGTTACTTTCTATTGAGTTAGAGCTTCGCAGTTGGCCATGAGTAAAAAGTACCTTTCGTAGGTCGTACTAATTTGAAGGTTTTGTCATGGGACTTGTTAATAGATAACGCGAAAGATGTTTTTTTTACCGAAAATTGAAGCCGTTTAAATGGGATCGACAGATCATCGCTATCCTCGGTATATGATCTAGTTGACCAGTTGCTGGGCCGTTGATAATAGTTGATACACTTAAATTGTCCTGAAATTCCTTAATATCCAGCCTCGTCCCATTACACATGCTCGGAGGTCTTTAATTTCTCAAAAGCATGATTGGAATTTCAACTTTTAGCTTCAATTCATTTGGTAGCAGCCCAGAAGGGTTTAGAGAATTTACAAATTCCTGTGGGTAATGGATTGAGTTTGCTATATTAGTCACGTTGTCGATCGATTTGTAATTTTTTATTTGGCTGGGGACTTTTGAATAATATTGCCCTAATATTTAAAGTGACATAATGTTTCGAGGATGATTTTGAACTAACTGCATCCTGTTCAGGAATTTGTTAGGTAATGTTCTTAAAACTTGGGTATATTATTGGCGTTTTAGTCCAGTAGAGTCGGAGTCCATTCAATTCAAATAAGCAAAGAAACAAACAATCAAATATTTCCTCTTTATAATATTATACTCGTATATGTAAATAACAGTGCGGTATAAAATGTATTCAGCCTTCAGACCAACAGTATACAAAACGACTCGCGAGAAATCGGACGGCGTTCTTATTCAAGCAAGGGAGCCCGTCCAGGAATTACATTTCCGACTACATAGGCACACTATGGGTAAAAGTTTACTTTCGATTTGGATATAAGTACATACTATATGTACAAATACTATATCGAAAAGTATGAAAGATACAATCCAAATTTGGCATCTTATCAAGGCACTGCGGTACACTTAGAGGATGCAATGCAAGCACATCTGAGCGGAAATAATAATAAAAACACACGACAACACTCGCTGTTGTTCATCTTATGTTAAAAACCAAATCAAATACCAAATACAATACCAAGCAAATTCGTTTTGGTGGCGTTTTATTTTTATGGCACTTGGCCACAGGACCATCGTTAGACATATTCATGCACACACACATACTCGTATACTACATGTGTTCGCTGGTCGTTATCAAACGCAAAACGCAAAACACAGAACGCACTTTGAACTTTTTCATTTAAAACTCAAATTACTTTCTACTGTCGGCAGGAGGCGAGGCAGACGTTAATGGTCTGCTGCTACGCGTTGCATGTTGTCCTTTAAATGTCCTCAAAGCATTAAGCACACACACGTAAAAAATTTTAAAGTGGCAAGGCCAGCACGGCTTGAATATTTATGATAATTGCATTTCATGCAGTACTTCCTTTGCGCACTCCTCCGGTCTATATGCGACAACACGGCCAACAAAAGCCTTTAAAAGCAGCTCCAACTCGTCGTCTGGGTGATAAATATTTTGGCAAGCATCTGCTGCTGCCGGCCCGCAATCGTGCCTTTGCATTGCATTCTTTGCAACATGCTTCTCTTACTTCAGCCTCGCAGGCATTTTTGTGTCCACTTTGTGCACTTTCTGATGCCTGCCGCCGGTTCAATAAAATCAACAAGCCCCAAACTGCACACAGAAGCTATAACACATACATACATACTCGCACCGCCACTCACAAATGCCCTGCTGCACACAATAGCGGACTGCACGCCTGTTTAATATAACAAAAGGACATGTGTTCGCATGGCCAGCACAAGCTGCTGCTGTCCCCTTTTGGGCCACCGGATGTGCCGCCGGCTGTCCGCGTTGCATGGCGACAGGATGCACTCGCGGCCAAAGACGAAGTCGTAAAATATTTTATGCACAAAGGCGCACACACGGTCAGTGGGAAGGTCGAGCAGGCCAGTTTGTTTAATTTAATTAATTGCACGTTTAAATCTGGGTGAGTTTAAAAGCGTGTGATGCGTGAGGCGCTACCATGTTGAGATTGGGACCTGACCGAGCATTTCTACAAATATAATTCACCAGCACATGTTTAATTTCCTTCACTTTTTATAGCCACTAAATAAATGTCATATAAATTTCACCTACGAGTATTGCCAAAATTTATGGCAATAACGCAAGCAAATAACGTCGGCAATAAAAGCTAAAACAAAAACAAACTAAAATCAAATAGAAACAGGCAAAAAGTCGCATGGCAATGACCATATCAGTGGCACAGCATAGGCAACAAAGAAATCATTGAACCAATTCAGCGACCAACTCAACAACCGGAAACGCGTTTCGAATAAAAACGAATTGAGGACTTAACAATAACAGTAAAAGCAAAGGCAAAACAATGGCATACAGTGAGCAGCAACAACAGCAAGAACGACAAATACGAATACAAACGGCGTCAGTTGATGGCGATGAAGCATAAAAACCACTCGCCTTTTTTATGACTGCGCAGCATGCAACGACGAACTCAAACCACCAACAGCACCAACAGAACAGCAAAGCGGGAAACCGAACCGGCAACAAAAACGACAACACTAAGCAGTAAGCACATGAACTGGTCCTTCCCATGCCCTCCCCCTAAAAGTGCACTACCCATATGAGTGCTCTAATACTAGGTGGACACATGCTGTGGCTCCCAGACGGACGCATCGCGACTCCAAGAAGTTTAAGTGTCAATGAGGTTTTATTGAAGACGGGTCGTGCAGCACCTAAAACAACAACTAGGACTATTGCTACACTCACAGAAAAAAACACACCATTAAACATAATCAAACTTTCACTAAGATAACATACTTTTAAAAAATATTCGATAAAAAACGATACGATTACATCTTCTCTTAGATAAGACGACATAAGACAAGAAACGATAGGACGAGAACAAAAGAACTTCATTAAAAAAAAATAAACAAATGCAAATTAAAAATTAAGCAATTGATTAAATTGTAAATATATTATGAACATTAAAAAAAAACAACAGAGTGCTTAATAAACATTTTCCGACACTCAATTGGACTATAGTTCTAGGCCAATTGTCTGTTGTCCATTTATATATTTATTTATCGACAAACAGGGCTGTCCATGTAAAAAATTAATAATAATATAATAATAATAGAAATAACAAAAATGTCTATTAACGAATCCGACCCGGTGGGGGAATTTTATTTGCCAAACAGTCAGCTATGCCCCGATTCACAGCAGGGAGAACTCAGAGACGTTATTAGACCTAACAAAAAAGAAATGGTATGTATGCAGCACAAAGTTGAACCAAAGCAGCAACAACAACAGCTGCTGGCAGCGCTGCGGGCAGAGTTGCAGCCAGCGCATGGGCAGCGATTTTATTTACGACTATAACTTTCTTCAGAATTGACCAATCATGATCAAACTTAACATACGGACACATAATCACTAACTGGATGTATATGCCAAAATTGAGTTTAAAAATTTTAAGAATTACAGGAGGTATTAAAAACACGAATTTCGGGGGATAGGGTGCATCGAAACAATCTCAAACTCGTACTTTCTCGGACTTGGGAGAATCTGGATACCAAGTTTGGTTATTCTTGCTCTTGTACTTGCTAAGATCCTTGCGTTCATACAGACGGACGGACGGACGGACAGACGGACATGGCTATATCGACTCAGCTTGTCATCCTGATCAAGAATATATATACTATGTGGGGTCTGCCACGCCTCCTTCTGCATGTTACATACATTCGCACAAAACTAGTATAGCCTTTCACCCTTTGGGTACAGGCTATACAAATAATTAAAAGCTAGAGGTGGAGAATCACTATCCCGTTGGGGGAGGGTTTATTAGCCAGTCCGGCTAGCTATGCCCCTAACTCACAGCAGTGATAATCAGTGATTCTGCCGGAAGTAGCTGACAATAGAATTTTCAGTGAGGGGGAAGAGAGCTCACTTGAGATTAAAAAGTAAAAAGTATTATAGTTGGATCATATTAATTCAATTGGGAGATCTGTATGTGTTTTATTGCAATAATATCTTGTGTATTTCTACAATTTCAACTTTATTCTAAGATTGGTATGTTACCGGAGGTGTGAATGGAATATGCTATACTCATATGGAATGTCTCTCTCTACAATAAATACAGCTATATATCTATATCTATCTGTATATAAATATATATCTGTATATAACTGTGTGTATATTTTCCACTCCTTTCCTCTGAGTGAAGGCATACACACGCCTGGCCGATGCTGATCCTGATGGCAGGAACATGATGGATGCCTGCGAGAAATGTCACTTGTTGCGTAGCTCGATGTTCCCAGACCAGTTTGCCTGCGGAAGCAACTTTATGTTCAACTAGCAAATAATCATGTCCGCTGTTGTTCACGAAATGGCAAGGGGCGCAGGGCAGGCGGGTCGCATGAATGACGTGCCCGTACTCGGCACCCAATGTGGCCGACCTCATATATGCTGCCCTTTGTCCGGCTGGACAGTTCGCTTGTTGGGCTTTTTGGCGATTTTACGGCTTATGACGAGGAACCACCAACGGGTATACGTCGAATAGTTCAGCCATTGAGCGTGTGTTTGTATGGCTATGTGTGTGTCAATCTGTTTACGTGTGTATAGATGTATGCGTGTGTGTGTGTGTCTGTGTGCGTGTGAAGTGTTGCCGTGGCACAGTTTATTAGTAAGGCTTATGTTTTATGGCGAAAAGGACAATAGATGGCCAACAGATGTTTGCCTTTTGTTTGTTTGGGGCCTACGCCTGCTGGCGGGCCTATCCGCATATCTCCCCCTCTCCCTCTCTCTTTCTCTCCCTGTTTGTAGTGCTTGTCATATGCTTGAATAAGCTGTCATATATACAAGTATGAGTTCATAGTTATGTGTGTATGTGTTGTGTGTGTGTGTGTGAGAGAGAGAGAGAAATGAAACATAATTTATTATGTTATAAAATATTATCGGGGCTGGGAGCGAGTCGGCGTACGCTTCATTGGTTGCTTATATCGACCATTTGGTTGAATACTCAATTATTCATATTGTTGTTGCCGTTGCTATTATTATGACATGTGTCTGGTTTGTAGTTGGCTGGTCGCTTGGTCGTTTGGCCGCTTTGTCGCTTGGCTGCTTGGTCAGCAGCCTGCCATTTATAACAACTGTCACGATTACAACTCGGTAATCGATTTGAGTGCGTCCGAAATTGGACAGAGCAGCAAGTGTCGGGGCTTAAGTGCTCAAACAATTTATAGATCATTAACCATACTTGGAACTGAATGTTTTTCCTACTCGCGGTCTTCTCTTTTCAGTATCCTGCAGTACAGTGACTGTCACAAAATGTCAAGCGGCACTGCGAACACTTCAAGCGTTTCAATTCTTTCGGCCAACATGTCTCTGCAAAGAGCCTGGAATGGATCCCGATTGCAATCATTTCCGGGACTTTCTGTTCGATCATCCCTGCGGATTCGTTCTCAAGAAAGGTGAGTTAGCCATCCTGACTCCCAGCAAAGGTTTTGGCTCCTGAAACAATGCTTAGGCAGACAAATTAACCTATATGTTCAATGTAATTTAATTTTCGACTAGTGCTATACAAGTAAGGACTATCAGGTGCACTAATCTGAGATACACAAGTGAATTTTAGAATATTATTTAAAAACTAATCATTAGCACTTTGCAGTTGATTTTAAAACGAAGAATATAGTAATTATTGAGTGCTGTAGGAGGCCGCTATTACTACCTTTTGAAATAGTAAAGCTTAGCTTTTCATTTATGAGCAACAGTTAATGTCCAGAGTATTATTTGGTAATAGTATCATTGTGCGTATTTCGATTAAAAGGCCCACTTTTACGACATCGCTTGTAAAATATGTATGTGTTGCAAAAATAAAGTTTACATAAACAAGCTAGTACCCCATGTAGGGGAAACTTTTTAATTGATTTGCTGGCTATTGTTATTGAAATAACTTTCCTTCCACACTTCTGAATTTCGCTTTTATTTTCCGCAGCTGAAAAGGATCCATACCCTATAGATGCTCTGCCGACGTGCAATCACGCGCTCTCCGTCTGCCAGCAGGAACGCAAATGCTTAAAGCTCTTCGAAGATTTTAAAACACACTGTAAAGTGCGTGACAATAAATGCAAAATGGAGAACAGGTAAGCAAAGTGGTTGAGGAGGAAATAAACTTTCGAAAAAGATTCGCTTCTCTTGCAAAATTTGAATGGAATATTTAAATTGCGTCCCTTCGACGCTGCGCAACAATGCTACCAAATAATCAATTATAATTATTGATAACTCAGTTTCCCATAATGAATACAAGCAATAACAACGACAAGTCGGCGGGGGCATGACCCAAAAATCTGCGTCTGCAGCCGCGAAAAGTTCACAACTTTTCCTGCGGGAAAATTGTCAGGACGAGCGCAGTGCTAATTAGAACAATGGCATGCAGTGTGCCACCACTATTCGAAGTGCTGCAAAAAACTCAATTAAATATTCTGGTTAAATATGAAAATTGATTTTCAGCCATAGCATAACGGTAATTGGGAAATGCATGCCATTGTAGGACGGGTGTCGACGTACCGTGGCTCAGAATCAATTCTCTTCGGCCAAAATTCAATCACCTTTGAGCAGGAAAAGCCAAGCTAGAAAATAATATATTACGTATACGTATCACTATTCACATTATTTTAAACTTATTCAAATGTTTCCCGTGTTAGGCAAAAATGTAATATACTTGTACCTTAATCCGAGGACTAAGATGTTTTCCCGTGCTCACTCATTATACACTTTCTTCGTAACTCCCATAATTCTGATTTTTCTAACAGAAAGTAAAAGTGATTTTTCTAAAAAAAAATCTACATTTACTTTCTGTTAGTGCATATCTGTGCTCTTGTCAATGGGTAGAAACAACTCTAAATGAAGTTATAGCCACTTAAGTAATATCTGATATATCTGCAACCAGCTATTGCTTTCAGTTCTTAGTTCAGTAAAATATTTAGGAGGAGTTTTGGCCCACATATCTATAATTTTATTAATTTAATTATTACAATGAAACACTTACGACCATGCGGGTTCGTGCCATGAACCACTGTGAACCACTGTGCGACGGATATAGGGAAAACTTCAATGTCGCTAGGCGACTTGCCTGCCGCAATATTAAACTGCAGCATACACGTTGAAGCAGGAAACAGCAGAGCAACATTTAATTTCGATATTCGATTTTATTGGCAAAAACTTACACACACACACATATAAGCAGACACGCGAGCATGTGGCATGCGAACGTTGGGCGCTAACTTCAACGAGCATCACGAAATTAAACTTCCTGCTTGTAGCATTCTTATGTACTGTTTCCTACAGCCTTCACATATCCTTACTGACATGACTTCCTTGCCTTCCTTACCGGCCTGACTGCCTGCCTGACTGACTGCCTGACTGCTTGAATACAAACGTTCTGAATGTTTTAATAACTCGAAATGACTTTTTGTGGCGGCGGCATGTTGCGCTGGCTTCCAGCTTAAAGTTTTTGTGCACCAGGGCGCCGCCAAAACTTTTGCCACGCATATCGACGCAATCCCTCGCAGGTTTGCTCCCTTAGATGGCGCAGCGATTTTTGTTGTTCCACCACCTATGCGATAAAATATTAATTGCAGTGCCGTATGTATGCATTTTTGATGTAATTGCCAATTTTAAACTTTGCTGGCACGTAGCGGAAGTGGCGTGGCTAGAGGGGCCGACCGGATGGGGACCTAAAATGAATTCAATTAGCTTAGTTGCGAGTTAGCTGTGTGGTCCCAAACTGTTGCGGTTACTGTGGACTTAAGCAGCGGGTTTTACCAAAAAGGAAGCCAAAACGAAGCTAACTAAGCTCTTTTCAACTTTTTTTTACAGGGATGCCTGCCACGATTCCTGGACAAACCTACGGCTGTCGCCCATGTTCGGCTGCATCTGTCCAAATAATCATATGAAAAAGCGCTGTGATCGTATATTTAATATTGTTAATCACAATCCGTGTGTGGGTAAGTTTGTGTGCGAAATCGCAGCAGCAACAACAACAACAACTACAACTACAATTTATCAAGCAATAACACAAACCTATCGCGAACCCAAAAGTGCTACAAAACATTAAAACGTTTTGTCGTATATTCTTCGAATTACAAACAATATTAATTGATTCATTCTTTCTTATCGTGATTAGTAACTACTATGTATCTGATTTGAGTTCGTATTCTTAACAACAAGTGATTTCCTTTGTTTTGTCTATTTTACTTTCCTTTTAGATTTTGTACTCTTTTCGTTTTCTTGTACTCTGTGAAACGCTCAAAATGAAACTAGCCTAACAATATTAGTAAACTAAGTAACGGAAACTCAAAAACCAAACCTAAAACTATATCGAAAACAAAAACCAAAAACCAAAAACCGCACGCTTCTGCATCAAAACAAAGTAATCAAAGTAATCGAAACCCATGTATTGCGTGATTTGCGATCAGTAAAATATTACCTATCAATATGCCTACTTATGTACTCGTATATCAATATAATAGCTATATTCAGTAACAATATATCTCACGTATACGTTTGCAAATCAAACTGCCGTAACTGTCACCGCTCTCACTATCAAACTTATAGAAGTAAGCCCAGCAACCACCCACCTTCACAATCTTGCCAGCAACTGATTGATTGATATGCCACTTGCTAGCTGTAATAGTGTTTAAAAAACCTAAATCTGTGCTTTAGTTTATTGCCAAGCCAAATGAGTACCATTTGCACCATCACCACTAAGTACTAATCGTATTAGAAGTATCCATTCTATCTATCTCTAACTAACTAACTGCAACTGATTACAGATCTAACTGTGCTATCTCTCCCTATATCTCTATCTCTCTCTCTCCCTCTCGCTACTCTATCTCGCTCTACCCTTCACTGTAACTGACTATCACTCGCGCTTTATTTATCGGCTAGGGCTAAAGGGCTTCTTGGAGTCGGGTGGGGCAATTAACATAGGCGGTTAAAGAAATACAACAAAAATATAGTTTTCAAATTTAATTTTCTATCTAAATCATGCAGCTGCTCATTCTCTTAACTCAATGCCAATGCTTTAATGTTCCCAGCTATACAAAACAAGTATTATTTTGTTTTTAACCAACTCATGCCGGCTAATTCTCTCATAGTACATATTCACACACACCCGCCCGCATTCACAAATAAACAAGCACACACACACACACACACACAGAACATGCTCAGGGCACATCGCGCAAGCTGTTAGTCGCACATCCGCCACCGAAACCACACTAAATAGACCCACGAGCCGCCAACTACGCGGCCCGGCAGCACTGAAAAACAACAAAAACGTAGCACTAATTGGGCTAATTAAATGCTCGCACTTGCACACACACACATGAGCACACGCACACACCCACACACCTATTTATATGTAAGGCAATATGTTTAGCACAAATTGCACCTCTTTGGCACTAAATGTTTTATTTCTTGCACCGCACGCACGTTCTCTCCCCGCTCTCTTTTTCTCTCTTGGCTCTTTGCAGATAGACTAATATTTTTCCCCAACGGCTTGCCAAAGCTAAAACAAAAGACCAAGCCCAAGTCCAAGCAAAAATCGCGGCTACGCGGCATCAACTCCACCGATGTGCTTTCGAATAACATAGAGTACCACGAAGGAGCTGGCGGTGGACACGCGAAGAACGAAGGATATGCCCCGGCGGGCAATGACGAAGAGGAGGACGAGGAGGAGGAAGACGATGACTACGACGATCGCATACGCGCTGAGATCTATTCAAATTATCCGCATTACTTGCATCCACCGTCGTGGGGCATAAACAATCCATTGGTACTCGCCTCGCACAGCCCACACACCTCCGACGATGACGACGTGGTCGTTGAGGTAGCTACGCACCGCGGACACAAGAAGCACCCAGCACAGCGCATCGATGATTTGGAGCGCGGCGAGGTGGACGATGTGGTAGTGGTGGTCGATGCGGGTTCCCACACGCACCCCCATACCTACTATACGCACGAACAGGCCTCCACCGCCAGCCCACCAGCGGGGTCAACCCTCCCCAGTTCTTTTAAGTATGGAATGTGTACCAGAAAATCTCTTTACGGATCTTCGGCATCGCCGAGATGCTTGGCTTTAGTTTGCAACCTAGGGCTGTTTAACAAACTTTCGATTCGTAGCAAAGTTTCACATGTGACTGCTGATTTTCAGCGTTTCATTAAGTTAAGGCACGTTAGGCTCAACTCCTCTAACCGCAGCGTCCACCAACTTTAAGCAAAAGCTTTTAAAATAATTGACTCACTTGGGTATGCCACAATTTCCGGTTAGCAGCGGCAGTCAACTAATGAATATACACAATGCTGAGTCGTCTTTGCTCCTTAGGCATTGGTACTGCATTTAAATAATCGGATTTTAATATATTTGGTCCTAATAAATATTCAACTACCCTGTCAATGGCAGGCAATGACCAGCACGATGCATGAGAGCAGCCAAGCACCGGCGGCAGGGTGTGGTGCAATGGTCATTGGGGCTTCTACTATACAACAAGTGGCAAGCAAGCTAGTGTTTCATAAATTTGTAATGTTTTGGCATTGTGATTATCATTTAGCAGCGGAAGTGAAAAGTCAAAAGCAGCCAACAAAGCGCTGCAAGCAGCTTCTATTTAGTTTTGCGGCGCCACAACCTGTGCCGCCCTTAGCCCTAATGATGTAAGCCGATTAATGCAAACTATAAGCCATTTTCTGTGTGAATAAATAGCCAATGCACTGAACCGGCACATGCACATGCACACACACACATACACTCACTCTACACATGTATTTGATCAATTTGATTCGATATGCTTCACCTAGAGCACTTACGTTTGTATTTTGCACACAACTCCATTAATTTGAATTGCACTTACTTCTTTGTACGACTCGTATTATCTATTTAGCACCGGCACCAAAACGCACAAAACTGCACACTTTGGTGATTTAGTCACCGGCAGCGACATAAGTCTAACCCACCGCACCTATCCGGGCAGCAGCATCGACGAGCGAGGTAAGTACCGAGGAGCACCAACAGCACTTGCCTTTGCACTTATCTACATGTTTAAGTAGTAAGCTCTAAGTCTAAATTCAATCTGTATATTAAGTGCATTTGCCAGCACCGTCTGACTAAAATTGTTCTTCCATCCTTTAATTTGGTGGGCCATCTTAACATTTCCTATTTATGTTCCATTTTTGAGTTATGGCTTCACACTGGCAGAAATGAGACGACAAACAGTGCGTGCCCCTGAATAAAAATGTAAAATAGCTCTAATGTCCTAATAACTAGATATTTCCATAGAACAACGAGGAACAAAACTCCTTTAGGACTCATACAAAACGATTTAAAAATCACGCTTTATCTTAATGTGTGCAGAGAAAATTCAGACGTTCTTTACTTGGAGAGAAAGTTTATGACAAAATGAAAATTACGAACTACTTAGATCGATCATACTTGGTTTTTGAATTAAATGCTAAAACTTCTGAGTTTATCAAATGTCTACTTTCGCCTTAACCTCGTACTGGCGAGCTACACATCTAATGTACATATATCACTTGCATCATTTATTCAACGTAATGAGCCCTAAAACAAAGATCAAGCGATAAATACATGCTATGGTGTTGGGTGTGTGTGTGTATGTGTGTGTGTGTGTGTGTGGCAACTTAGCAGACAATTTAAGCGTACGTAGCAGCAATGCACCAAAAGCCAAGGGCCACCACATCTTGAACACACAACAACCAGCACCTCGCTCCCAGTTTATTAGATAAACTTGCAGCGAACAAACAAAGCGCCAAATGGGGCATTGCGGTGGCCGGGATATCCATCCACGCCTTCCACTGCGCCAATGCCTTTGTGTGTGGCATGCAGTTTGTTTGCCCAGACCGTCTGCTCGTCCGGCCGTCTGCAGAGCAATCACTTACAGTTAAAATAATACGCAGACACAGGCACAGGCACATGCACATGCACTTGCACTTGCACATCTACACACCCGGTTGCATACTCGGTCACTTGCAATGCACACAAGTGCCATAAATATGCATTTTGGTGTGGCACCACCAACACCATACTCGCACACCAGCCAAGCATACACCAGCCTTAATACACACACACACACACACACACACACACACAGCGAGTGCGTATCGAACGACATTCTAGCCAAAATCTATTTTAAATTTACTTTAAATAGTTTTATTGCATATGTACATACCCTTTATGAGTAGTTGGACTTTTGTGCTGATTTTCAGTTGCTGCTTATTTGCAAATCAGCATAAAACTTACGACACAATCGCACGCACATCTTGCCACGCAACATATCAATATCTGCACTCTTATTTGTCCTTACTAGTCCCGGTTGCTACTTGCTAGCCCCTGCATGCCCGGATCAATGAAACCAAGCACCAGTTCACAACCGCCAATTTTCAATTCAAATTTTGGTACATTTCCAAATGATATATAAGAACCGTATTTATTAGTAACTTCAGTCGGCTAGACGAGCTCATAAATTGTTTAGGAATTTCTCCGCGAATGTAAAAATTTGTATGTATTTAATAGAAATGCAGATGAACTAAGAAAAGGTCTGGAATGCCTTTTTTCTTCTGAACAGATATTGCAATTTGCTCTTTTGTGGCTGCAAACGTAATGCAGTAATTTTTAAGTACATTATCTGATTAATTTTTGGTATTTCCTCGAGAAAGGCGATTAAACATAAAACAATAAATCTTTGCCAAATGTACTCGAAATAGTACAAAGACTAGTAAGCCAACATTTCTAACTTTATTTCCTTCACTATCTTATTCATACACCAATAATTTATTGAATAGATTATGAAGCTATTACCAACAAAAAGACTAGAACAACAACACAGTTGGTACTTTAATGTGAACTTAAGCTTATTAGTTTTTTTCCAACAGCATTACAGTTTTCAAGAAACATACATACACTTGTAATAAATGCTTTTATATGAGATTAGTTAGAACTGAATTAAACAAAACAATAAAGCTCGTTTAAAAATCAAATCGAAGCTGCTGAAGCTACTAATTACAAGAAGGGGTTCATAAGAATATAAATGTTTTTGTAATGCTTGTATTAAAATAAGTTATCTCTTTGTTTAATGGCTAAGGAGGGTACCATTCCAAATTCATGGTATATGGAATGGGTGTAATGAATGCCTGATCCCTTTGGTCGTGTCCTACATTCCCTTTAGCTGTTCACTTGCCCATCATTTGCTGCCATTTTGATAAATTCGCATTTTGGATTTTGCTTTATTTATTGCCACAAATATCACTTGCCATTGTTGTCAGCCGTCTATCATTGCCACAGCCACTGGCGCTTACAACAACGGTGCTGGCAATCTGGAAATTGATGTAATAAAGTCGATCGAGCTGTATTTACTGCATTGACATCATTTTCCTGATGTTATGTCGCTTTCCAGTCATTCTACATAATTTTGAAGCGCGTCCAGGTCCCAGCTGCGGGACACTATGCCGTTGTAAATAGACACAATGCGTTTGCACTCTCCAAACATTAGCAAATATTTATGAACGACCCACACACACACGCATGCACGCACACGCATGCACACACACGCCGCTTGACATAAATATATGTGCACTCGAGTTATTTGCGTCAGATGCCCAGTAAATTAACATGCGCCTCTCACATCGAGCTTGGGGGCCCATTCCCGTAGCCGGGCCCGGCATGTGTTGCAATAACAAACAGCAACAATAACAAAATGTAATCAGTTAAGCTCTTTACACACTCAACTAAACCGAAAACAGACGCGCGAATTTGAGTTTTGATGTTTAGAATTATACAATTTTGTAATTAATGCTATCCATCATTGAAACAACAGTTTTTTTCTCTACACTCTCAATTAAAATGTTATCGAGCTGATTATATAGCTCAAAAAAAAAAAAAAATTAAAAAATAAAAAAACAATAAATAAACAAAAACAAGTAGAACGGTATGTAGTGTCTGCACGACTCTTGAGTTGCTTTTCCGCGGTTCATCCATTTAAATAAAAGGAATAGCTTTATTTTAACAGTCATTCCTTTGGAAGCTAAATGAAATACTAGTTTATTGACTTTGATACAACTTCTGGTTATGAAGAAATACTACACAAAATATCCAGCTTTGCTTAGGATATTGCTTTATAAAGACAGATGTTTTCTAATCAACTTCATTTATGCGCCGAAAGTTTTAAGAGCAACTATGGCTGCACCAATTTGGATGAAACTATTTAAACTCGTAAATACTCGTTCAATATTTGCTTGATATACAATTTCTACGGAAATACGATTGATTACGTCTTTCTTATCTATTATATATAGGTATCATATGTATCATATCATATAAAAGTATATATATACATATATATATGTACCACGCCTCCATCAGCCTATAACATAACTTTGGGAATTCGATTTTTTTATACTGTACCCAGAGTATAAAAATAATAAGAATGAAATTAATTTAAGCGGGCTCACCTTTTAATACACACCAAAATATAGAAACATCGCCTTGTCTTATGACACAGATATATACTTTTCCGGGTCCGCCACACCCCCTTGTGTATGTAACATAAGCTTCGGTTATAGGGTATAAAAATCGGATGAATGATTGTTTCAAGCGGTTCACGAAAATGGGAAACAAAAACAACCGATATCAAGCTGAGTAACTAATGTGAAAATTTAATTACGCAAAACTAATAGCAATGGATATCACTCCACATACTCGTTGCTTATTATTAAATACAGTACACACCTCATAAAGTAAACCGACACAAGGAATTCATTCCATCAGCGCAAACCAAAAAACAACATTAAATAAATGAATAGATGTTACTGTGAATTTAAGTAGTAATAGGTCGAACTATTTTACATGTATGTATAGCCAATATAGCTTACCGATTTTTCTTATATACCGCGCCTTGAATCCTTGTCTGCATACGAAAAATATGGTCTGAATAAAATAAGTTAGGAGCTGCAGCATTTTATTAGGTTACCACAATCTAAATCAACATCCTTATCGATTCGTAATTTTCACTTTCGTAAAAGCTAAGTCAACAAGCCCACTATCAAAAACTTTATGTCACACAATATGTTAGTCTCATATACAAGTATACTTGTAGATATTGAAGCCTCAGGCTCACTCTAAATAGAACAGTTGCCATCGCCATTTTCGCTCTTATTCATGAAGCAGCGAGCTCCGGCTAGTGCCTAGCATTTTCGCGCTGTCTGTTAAATTCCTGGGTTGACTCATCAGAAAGTCCACTGTACACATCTTTATATATGTCCACATGAATGTGTGCGTGCCTTTAATAATATTTTCGAATCACTTTTTAACAATTGGGAGCCCGAAAAATAAAATAATAAAACTAACATGTTAGATGTGCGGCTTGCATGAATGTTTGTACATTTGTAGCTGCCTTTGTAACACTAATTGCACGCAGAAAAAGAGTCGAGGCTCCAATGAACAGCTGAAAACATCTACACAAGATGCTGTTTGCTGTAAATGGAACTCCTGTAGTTTGAAATCACGGCAGATTTTCAAATTTATTTCCGTAACTGTTGCATGAATTTAAGCAATGCCACCAGAACGGTCGTATATCCTAACAACCTGCACACTTAAACATGTTTCGCGTTAATTAAAGAATTTTAAGTTTACAGTTCAGTTTCTAAGCATGTAACCATTTACTTTTTATACATATAGCATATTATGTAGTAGATTTGACTTGTAATAATTGTGTCTGTGTTGAAATGAACAGCATGGCCCCAAGTATGGGGTGAATGTCTTAATCGAGTAAGCAAGAAATATTACGTATACGCGACGTCTGCCAGCAAACAATTAAATGCCTTGCCTTAGTGTCAGATCCAGTCTAAGACAACTGCTTACAAGTGCGATAACAGTTAACAAACGGCGATAATCCCATTGCCCCAGCTGATTCCCAGCAGCCACCCTTGTCCTTGGCAGCACAGCTCCACTGCTTGTTGTACAAATATTTGCTTCTGAAATAAGCGACAAACATAAATACAAATCGTAGCCCACACACACACACACACGCACACACAGAGACCAATACACAACAGCGCAGGTCGATGTCTCTGGCAAATCCCTGCCATTTAGCGCCAGCAGTTGACCGCCTTACGGGCTGCTGCTCGCTCTGCCCTCTGCACCCGCTAGTTCGCTCAGCCGTACCGCATCGCACATCCTTTTGAGCCTTTCCGAACGCTTCAAATGAAGCGCACTTTGGCGTGCGCTCTGCGAGATAAGCAAATGCTGCGGTTGCGAAACGTAGCGCAGTCCTCGTCAGCATTTGAATCGTTTGCCATTTGCCCGCTCTATCAGCGCATGACATTTGAAAGGCAATGCAGACAATCCTGCGGACAGACAGGCACACATAGAGAGGACACAACCAAGCACACTCGGTATCTGTTTGTCTTCTGTGGAAGCTGCGCTCCACTGGCAATGGCATTGATAGCGCTGGGCAAAGGCAGAACAGAAGTAAAGGCAATCGATGCGTGGCATTTGGAAAAAGCGAGTCAAGCTGAGCGGTAAACGGAAAAGGACTTTTGGGGCGCCCTGTGCGAGTATTTGTTGTCTGTGTTTTAACGCATTTGCACTTTTTGCTGTAATTATTATGGTTGGTTCGTCACATTCGGCCATGCGGCCGCGCTTAGCTGCATACCCCTCAAGACTATATATACTATGCGTACATACATAAATCTTTCCTTAGAGCTTGTTTGTTCAACTGCACCTTCTCTCTAAAAGCACATTTTCGCTCTGTTTCCTGCGACTAACTCTAACTTGTACTTTCGTTCATAATTTCAAAAATTTATCTTAAGTTCCTTAAGAGAGATCTACCTCAAGTTACAAATTGTGTGAATAAACTCCACAAGGACACATTGAATTTTATTTTGAAGACTCTACAAAAATATATTAAAATAATAATAATTAAATTACAATATGAAAATACGTATGAGACTGTTCGATGCCAAGCCGTTGCTGCGTCATGCGTAAACAATTTCCGACAACTACTGCGTTTGCATAGCTACCACATCCACAACAATAATAACAACATACTTGTAAAAACAAGCGAAACTACAACTACTACTACCATTCTACCCTCTCTCTTCTTGCTACTTCAAATTACAGTAAGAATAATGGGCATGGACGAGAAATTGCATCAGAAAATCTTCGAAGATAATTTGGCGCTAATTGATACTCCGTTGATAGCGACCACTTTGACGGGAACATATTATCCCGCCTCAGTGTCGAACTCACTGCACGGGGTGCTCAGCTATCCGTTCAATATAAGTGGGTTCCATCAGCGCCACATGGCCGCTGCTGCAGCCGCAGCGGCCGGAAATGAGTCGCCGTTCGATATCGTTGATACGGCCTACGGTTATGGCAACAACGCCAACACCAACGGAAACGGAAATGCCGGTGTTTACTACCAAAGTATGTGTATATGCGTTTAAGCATTTAGCATGAGCGTAATCAATAAAAATAAAAAACAAAAATTACCTCAACATCTGCAAAAGTTGCAATACCCTTCAAAAATAAAAACAAACAGCTTAAAAATTCAAGTAATAATTAAGTTGCGCCGCTCCATGCAGTTTTTTATTTATATTTTATTTGATATTTTAAATACCATTCATTTTTAATTTAATCAAACGTTAAAGTGTGTTGTGTCGTCCCCTCCAATAAAAATCACCCTATTACTATATGTATATGTACACCCCGTTTCAGGTAAATTTTTTGTGTTGAAGTTGAAAAAGGGGCGTTGCACGTCCGCCGACATGGTACGCACCATGGTTTTGTGAAAATGTTATCAACAATTTTAGGGTATGAATGCAGAAACGAATTGAATTACAACAATTCAAATATTTACTTACCTAACAATCTAAAATCAATGAGTTCACACATGCAAAATCGTTGTCAAGTTTATAAGACAAATTTGAAAATCCATGTGTGTTATGATTGTGTGAACTCCGCACTACAGAAACTCAAAACTGGTCTGCTTTACTATTATTTTCTTTAAGATTAACTTAAAGTAGTCTCTACACTAAAGCTCAGTTGCATAAAAAAAACAACAAAAAACAAATATAATGGAAGTAACTTATATTTTTTGAACTCTGAATTGCGTTTTGTTGCTTTTCCAGGAAACTAAAAATTAACTTTTTTAAATATATACATACATACATATACCAATTGTTAATATGTTATACAGAAACCATTTCGGTACATTTTTCTAATACATTTTTACTAAATGGATAAAATGAATTTATGAAAACCCAAAACCAAAAAATTCATTTGTTTTTAATAAGCTAAAGCAAAAATATAAATTTTGTTCCATTCAATTAAAGCACATTTTTTCAAATTCTTTCGACGCACCCGTTTTTTGAACAAAAATTCATACAAGTTACAACAACAGATACTTACAATAACTATACCAATAACAACAACAATATACGCTATCAAAATTTACATTTTTTATATATACAAGTTTTTCATGCAATTATCTGCCATATGTTTCATACAATGCGTGTTTAAACTTAACAACAACGTCATCACCAGTACAGCAACTACAACATGATTCATTTTTTAAAAGTCATCAAATTTTTAACATCGAACATTCTTCCGAATGAATTGTGAATATTCAGAATAAACAGCTTATTAAATAACAATTAAATACGGAAAACAGCTTAATACGCCAAATAACAACACTCAGTTCCTAAGTCAAACGAAATTCAAAACTCCAAACTCATATATGTTCTTTTGAAAACAATTAACAAATAAGTTGAGAATCGAACTTATTGTTTAACGAAAACAATTTTTTTGCATTTCTACTGCTTGAACCTTTGTTCTGCTTCTTGTCTATGATTTCATCGATCAGTTTATTTTAATTTCAATTTTCATATTACTTTTATTTACAAAGCGTACATCGGAGAATTGTGTTTTATGCGTTCAAACCCCACTATTTGACAAAAACGATCCCCTTCAATCCACAAAAATATCGTTGGATAAACAAAACCCATTGAATAGCATGAGCAGTCATTCGAGTCAGAAGTTTCCCATCAGAGAACATTCATTTGCATATCCATTGCCAATACATTGCGCCACCAGTGTAGTCTATATGGTAGCGCCGACCAAAAAAAATGACCAAATCGACACACACTCATTGCTACTATACTAACTAGTATATAAACCAATTTTAAATCAATTTACAAACATTTGTGGTAAAGAGAAACCGCTACTCGCGACCCCAACATATTTTTCTTAGCTATTGAAAGTAGTTTTAAACATCAAATAAACATTATAAGTATTAAGTACATATGTATAACTCTAGTATTTAGTTGTGTTTTCACCAATTATTGCCAGCCCTGCAGTCCCAGCCCTGCAGCCCCGCTGCACCCCGTAGCGCCCCATTGCCCCGCTGCTCACCAAAGAATAAGCTCCCCCTTCGATTTACAGTCAACCCAATTGAATCCAAGTTGGAGGCAATGAATTAGATAATTGCTTATACTTTTTTTCATTATTTCTGATTTTGATTCTGATTCTAATGATTTTAATAAGTAGCTTATAGCTAAGATTGGAATTGTGGGCAGGTACAACGAGCCAAGTTGGTTATTATTTATATCAAATAAAATAATGTTGTAAGTGCTGACGCTTTTTATGCAACCCTCATGAGCTTGTCAGGCATGAGGGCTTTCTTTTCAGATACAAAAACATTGAATTTAATTAACGAGTTATGCAAAACACGCTCTAATTGAGATGTGAAAAGTTAGTTGTGTGTTTTGCATACATGAATGCAAATATGAATGTTTTGACAATAATAATAATAACATCACCAATTAGAGAGGGAAAGGCAGGTACATGGTGTAGTTTAAAATTAAACACAGATATGTCTAAATTACTGTTAAATAACATAAAAAAAATGATATTGCAAATGCGGGAAAATGAAAATGAAAAAGCGGAAATGAATAAATAAATTAACATCAAATTAAACATCACAGCGAATCGTTTTTTAGGTGTTGGCAAGCAACACCAACAGCAACAGCAACATCAACAAACGACCAATTTATTTAAGACCTATGCATAAAATATTTAAATTAGTTTGCATTTACACCTCTGCCGTCAAACCCTCAACCGCTTCTCTAATTAAATTACGCAAATATTATTTTAAAGCCAAGTCAAGCCACAAAGCAGCTCATGGTGGTTGACAGATAAGCGGGAAGCTGGCGCTGCAATTCGGTAGGCCGCACTAGGAAAGAAATTTCGAACTACTAAAGTGAAAACTAATGAAACATTCTTGCCATTTTTCAAAACTTTTTGCTGCAATTCCACACCACACACATACTCGTACACACAACTCGACACAAAATGGCCACACCGACAAACAACGCTTAATCGACCGATACCAACAAACGCATCTCTTGGGTCTAACAATGCATCTACGCAAAACCATTACAAAAATGTGATGCACACTTGGGCACATGCGGCTGCAGGTGGCCAGGATGTCGAAGTTGACCTCTCAACGGAAATAATCAAGCAACACTTTCAGGTGAGCAACGATAATGCAACGGGTCGGCAGAGCCAGGCATAGCCTGGCAGAGCCAATGCGCAAACGATGTTCCCATTGTGATGCAAACTGCAATGCGGCACATGGCTGGACCCCGAAAAGAGTGCCATTATTACATGTTATGTACATGTATTGCAACCCTCGGTCGAACCTCTCCCTCTTTCTCTTGCCGTTGCAGAGTACCTGCCACACAGCATTGGACACCTGCCGGGAAGATCCGTCCTGTTCATCGTCCCTGCAGCCGATGCTAATGCACTGCGAACTGCATCGCTGCAATCGCAACGCGTGCATGACATCGTTGCAAGCCTTTTACAAAGGACCACACGAGGATTTGAATCTGGACATAGCCTTTTGTCTATGCAAGTAAGTGGCTCAGTAAACTGAACAGATCAATGGTTAGAACAATGCTTTCTATTCAGCAAACACTTTTCGCGCATGAAAACAAATCGTTGTTATACTCGTATATAGAAAGCTCTACTAACTGTGTTTCATTAGGATGTCGCGCCTCTCTAAATGCTTTACTCGCTTTAAATCGCTTAATAATATTATTATTATTATTATTATGAGTTACTAATTAAATATTATTCACAACGAAATCGCTTAATTTCGTGTCAATGTGTCATACATGTATTAAATATTTTTTGGAATTTTATAGAAATTTGTTTCACACATTGACAGCTCTTTATATGAATTAACAGAGTCCGCTGTTTTTATTAATGGATTGCATTCTCAATCACTTCTCCTTCTCGCTCCCGCAAACAGAAAAACAACCAATAGGGAGAACAATGGCAATCGTCACGACATGTGCATGATTGCACAGGAAAAACTGCATCCCGTCTGTGCGCAACGGCCGCCCGATAACAATAATCCAGCGAGCTCGAACGGCATTTACTACCATCCGCCACCGGCCTGTCATGTGGTGGCCGAAAGCTGTAAAGAGGACCGCGAGTGCAGGTGAGTCTTGGAGTCGGTGAGTCCATAATTCAAATGGCGACTCGCCGACCTTTCGGCGGATACGGAAATATGCGCACGTGTAAATCGGCGTGCTTGTTTCGCTGAATGTGCGTAAATGTGGTTATGGATGTGGGTGGCATGCGATTGTGTCTGTGTGTGTGTGAGTGCGAGTGTGAGTTCGAGTGCGAGCGTGAGTGCTCCAAGTGTTTTGCGAGCCTTATAATTGAATTGAGTTGATAAATGAAATTGAATTTTCACTTGCTCATGTGCGCAAATATTAAATTACGTGAGTGAGACATAGCAGAGTCAGCCACAGCTTTGATGCCGCTCTGCTAACGTCATTAAATGGCAACAGCAGGGAACATCAAAGTGGGCTGTCAGTAGCGCTCTACTTTTGGCTTTGGCAGCTCAAATCGCCGAAAGTCAAACTGGGCGTAAAATTAACACTTTGGGTTTGTTGGAACTCGTTAAAACGATGCGATGCGATGCGATGCAACAACGACGCTTACGAGTTTGTAGATCAGCGAAGCCACATTCTTCATTAAGCGCCATGCCACACGAGGCAGTAGCATCCTCAACGACCCGGCGCTGCAACGACAGCTTGCACTCCGACACTCAAGTTGAAGCCACACTTGAGACCCGGCCGCGAATGTGTCAAGCACAAAGTTAAGTTATAAATACGCGCACAGCCACAACAGTCAGCATGTTGGGGCGGGTTCATGTTTGTGGGTGAGTGGATGCTACTCTCTGTATGTGTGTGTGTGTGTGTCTGTGTGTGTATGTGGCTGTGTCTTGTCATTTTGCATTTTACAGCTGAACGACCGCAAAGTACGTGGCTGTGAAATTAATTGCCTTTTAAGTGAATCGCACTTGCCTTAGTAAACAACTAAATTGGACTAATGACGCTCATTTTGTATGCTGCGAGGCGCGCGTGTGCCAAGTTAAATGCAACGTGCGCCATATGAGTGTGTGTGTGTGTGTGTGTGCGTGTGTATAAGTGTGTGTGTGCTTATGTTAACTTATTACGTATACGACCGACACGTGCAACAAACAACTGCAACTGAGGGCGCATTTGTTTGGCTGCCAGCCTGTGTTTTATTGGTGTTAGTGTGACAAGCGATTCCCTTTATGTTGTTAACGTTGGCAGCTGCCCCTCCTGCCGCTTAATTAGCTGCTGCAACTTTTTGTTGCACAAGTTTTGAGAGTTGCAAGTTGAGAGTTTCGCAGCACCTATGAGGCTGCAGCACTTACATCACCTATTAGGCACTCGAAATAATTAAGCAGCCTCCGGATATAAACAAAGCCTAACAAATGCAATAACAACAACAGCATTAACCTGCGCACAACACAGAATTTATATAATCCCAGTTATTATCAATTGAATGTAAGTAGCATTCATTGCATTTCCACTTGCACCAGCAAGGCGTGTAAATTATGCAAATTGCCGAAGTGGCCGTTGAAGGCAGGCATTAAATGTCAAATATCAGCATAACGATATTATTAACTTGTAATTTGCAGCTCAGCAGCCACAACAGAGGCAGAGGAGCGAACGGCCTATGAATCTCTTTGCCACAGCAGCCCCAGGCTGTCGTCTGCAAAGCTGTGTCAAAAGTTGAGCCTGAAATTATTTAGGACGCAAATTCAGTTCGTGCTGACTTTGAGTGGCCGTATTAGGTCGAGTGTTTGCCCCACCTCTAGAAGACGACTGACTGTTCTTGTGATGTTTATGCGTGAGTGTGCATGACGAATTTGAATGGACTTTATGCGCTTGATTGCTCGTTTGGTCATTACATACTTGTACACGTGATTGGCATTGAATGACATGAAACTTACAGCACAATTTGTTAATTAGGACATAATATAGAAGCAGATCTGAAATGGATTAGACAATAGAATAGGTTAGAATACAAGTAGAAACAAAAGTTTGGCATTCTCACAAAGCGACCGCAGCATCTCACACACGCATCTGCACATAAAATTGGAGCCGTAAATTCTATAGCAATTTTGCGGTAGAGCCATCATCAAGACAGACCATGAAATGCAGCAGAATGCCAAGCGTAATTCCAACATAAATTGGCTGACATCAATCTCAGGCGAGACCCAGAGAACATGCAACCAAGTGCGGCACTGCAGGTAGAGGCCAGCCACACACAACAACGCAACTAACTGGAGCCTGACAAACATACCAAACATGAACTGAACGGCATTTGGCAGGTCGAATGAAGTACAAAGCAGAAGTGTGACTAAACAAATGAGGCAAGTGCCCATGGCGCAGGGCAGGTTGGCTTCTCAACCTTCGTCTGACGACTTCGAACACATCCTGAACTTCGCACAGTGGTCCTTCCTATCGTGTTGTATGTGGGGATAAAAGTGCAACATCTTCCAAAATTCTCCTAGTTTTTTGGTCTGCTCTATACATTGTCCTAAAATTGCTGCAGTTCGTTGTGCTCCTCCCTCTTTGAGTCTATGCTTCTCTCCCAATTCTTTGCCAGTTGCTATTTAGTTGCCTTTGGTGCACAGTGTTCCTTCACGTCATATAGTATGTGAGTATAGAAGTGCAACATCTTCAAAATTCTCCTACTTTGTTGGTCTGCTTCTACACATTGTCTTGGAAGTGCTAGGGTTCCTCGTGTTTCTCCACCTTTGAGTCCAGGCATTTCTCCAAATTCTTTGCTTCACCAGCCACATCATTATTTTTGTATGCTAGCTATTGGCTATATTGACTATACCTATTCAATAAAGCTATGACTTATCGTTTAAAATGGGGCATTGCAGATTAAAACTGGAGTACTACGAGCAGGCCTGTGCAGTCGACAGTGTGACCAAAAAATGCGCCGGTCGTCCAAGTGGCTGTCGCACAGCCATGATTGGCATTCTTGGCACCATGCTACGCACCACATGCGCCTGTCAGGGCTCCGATGCCCAGCATCTCTACCAGTGTGTGGGGTGGCGACGATTGCTCTGGATGAACCCTTGCGTTGGTAGGTAGTCCAACTACTCCTATTGCATCTTTGACTCTCCTGCTCATGAATTTTAAATCGTTGCAGTTGAGGCTCAAAAGGATTTCCATATGAAACGGCTGGCAGAGTTGGGTTTTCTCACGACAACAACGACAACAACTACAACCACAACCACTACGACTACTACCACACGTGCTCCACCTCCACTACCACCGCCCCCGCCCACAACGACGACGTCCACGACAAGTGCGCAGCCCAAGCAAACGCCGAGGAAGACGGCAACGCATATTTTTAAGGACTACAATGCGGTGAGTATTAGCTTTTCATTTTCAATATGCATTCATCCGTCATCCAGAATTCGGTTCAGAAAACATTTTTTAATCAACTCAGCCTGAGAAGTGAAGAGCCGAGTGAACAATCAGTTCAGTCGCATTCGACAGCAACAAAACAATAATTGCTGCCCTGATGCTGTAGCACGAAGATTAAAATTTATACCAATTTGAAACAATCGCGATAGAGCAACGAAAATACTCAAACTTTTAACTTCTTGTCTACTTGCATGCACCAACCACAACAACTACAATGAACATGCCATGCCAACTACAAAAATGCACATAAATAATAAATAAAAATACAAAAAAATTCAACAAAAAACCAACGAAAAACTGCACAACCAAATTGAAAAACGGCACTCCATGCCAATCCTGCAACGAAAACAGCCAAAGGAGAAATCAGAGCAGGCATCGGTGGAACACAATTATCTCGATCCGCCCGATTCGATACCACTGCACAGCGGAAACGATGAAAACGGAAATGGCGGAAATGACGATTATCACAACGGCAACGGCAATGGTAATGCCAATGGTAGCACTAACAACAACAATCTGGCTCGTCCGCATGGCAGCAAAAACGGTAAAAGCGGTGGCAAGCTTGGCGGCCATGCCAACGGCAATGGCAACAGCAACAGCCGTGGTGTAGATTTCGATGATCCAGTCATTTTTGTTGACCAAATGGAAACAACAGAATTTGTGGGCATCAGCATCACAGAACCGACAACCACAACGACCACAACAATGGCGACCACAACAACAACCCAGCCACCAAGTAAGTAAATGTAAATGCATGTGTGTGTGTGTGTGTGGGGGGGGGGGGGGGGGTGATTGAACGCAATTCGAGTTCCCCATCGTATTTATATGGGCTCGAGCGAACTTATAAGTGCTCATATACTCGTATGCTCGCATCTGGCAAAATGCGCAACCCAGAGCCTCGCACATTTTTGTACACAGAAGTAAAAGAACAAATATGGCCTTCCGAGCTTCCGCTTCTGTGCTACATTTTGTTGTGTTTAAACAAATGCGCTGTCAGCTCGGCCCCAATGCGCTTAGCACGCATTAAGAGCTAAATTAACATAATTTAAAGTTTAGAAGCTTTATTACAATTAACCTGATCAATGGCCAATATACCCACATAACGCTTTGACTTTAAATGCTTCATGCGCATCAGAGAGCTGCATGTTTCCTGTCAGTTACGTTTGATATAGTTTATTCTGAAATGTAGTGCTAATGAAAATAGTTCATTTTTCGGCTAAAGTCTATTCAAGACTTTCATTTATTAAGTGCCAATCAACTCATTTAATAAATGCTCTACTATTTTATGTTCAAAATGTTGTTACACTAAAAGGTGTGTATTTTTTAAACACCCAGATGGAAGAATGGTAGACTGACGCATTCATATCAAGATGCCCATGCTTTCTTTATATATTTAATTCATCGACAAACAATGCTGTCGAAGTAAAAGACAAACAATATGATAAATAACTGAAGCTCAATACAACTAAAGGTATTAAACGGCCTATACAAATGACAAAAATATCTAATAACGAATCCGGCTCGGTGGAGTAATTTTATTTGCCAAACGACCATCTATGCACCGATTCACAGCAGAAGTTGGTTAGCAAAGAAGTAGTGGAGATGATGAAATAGCAATAAACGACAACAAATTGTAATTAAAATATTAAAATAGAAGATTTCAGTTAGGAGAGAGAGAGAGTTCACTTAAGATTAAAAAGTAAAAAGAAAGTATTATAATTAGAGCATAATGCTCGATAAGATTTGTGCATGGCGTAATCACTAGTGCATCTGTTTAGTAGAAGAGGCATAAAGTTCCTTGTTCGCCTGGAAGGAACATAAAAAAGATAAATCTAACCTAAAAGCATAGACAAATCAAAATCTCCGACAGTCAATTTGTGGAGGAACAAAACACCAAAAACTATCCTTGCAGGCTAATAAGGATAAGTCAACTGGAGTAGGATTGTAGCCAGAGATTAGGATCCCAGTTAAGACCACGAACAGCAAAAAGAAGAAATTCATTCTGGATCGACTCAATACGGTCCTGGTGCAGTTTATACTGAGGGCACCAATCACATGAGCAATGTTCTAGCACTGGCCGTACTAGAGAACTGTAAAGTAGCTTGATGGTATAGGGGTCGTTCACTTCTTTAGACCATCGTTTAGTAACACCAAGAACACCCTTAGCTTTGTTAACGATAGTGGAGATGTGAAGATTGAAACTCAAACAAGTAAAAAAGCTAAAGTCGGGTGTCCCGACTTTGAAATACTCTGTACATATGCTTAGAATAATTATAGAAATTAAAAAAAATTAAGAAAATTTTAAAAAATGATGATCGATCTTACCTCTCTCGGTATTCGAACTCACGTAAAGGGTGTATAATTGCACATTTACATAGCAATTGCGTCTATGTGAGTGTATGTATGTTTACGCGCGTCTATTCGTGTCTGTGTAAGCATTTTTGCAGTTAACCAAAGCATCAGCATCAACAACAGCTGCAGGCAGCGGTTGGGCAGCAAATATATTTATTGCTATAACTTCTTGTTAAATCGTTCTATCATAGTGAAACTTGGCATACGGACACATAATGACTAACTGGGGGCATTTCCCCAAATTTGAGTTCGAAATTCCAAGAATTACGGGAGTTACGACTTGCATGGGAGAGGGTGGAGGGGGGAAAATCAAAAAAATAAAACAAACTTGCACAGCGTACACACATAACGCATCTTTTGGTGTCTCTAGCTCGTATAGTCTCTGAGATCCAGGTGTTCATACGCACAGACAGACAGACATAGATCGACTCGTCTCGTCATGCTGATCAAGAATATATACACTTTGTGGGGTCTGCCACCCCTCCTTCTGTTACATTTTTCAGCTCGTGCAAACCTAATATACTCTTGTACATTTCATGTACAGAGTATAACAAGAGAGAACGCTACAGTCGAGCAAGCCCGACAGTGTAATACCCTGTACCCAGGTAAACTTCCGTCACTGAGTTATATGCGCCCATAGCAGCAGCAAAAAGAGGAAGAAGAAGAGCGAACTTATTGCTGCAGTTTGTGGGGGTTGTACTGGCGAGGATTTGTTTTGCTAATAACTTTTCTTAGAATTGACCGAATTGAAAATTTTAAACAACAGTAGACAATTATATATAAATTATGTGTGCAAAGTTTGGTTTAGGTAGCATTTGAAATGTGGACGCTATTGACGAAATTCTGTAGCGGGGGAAGGGGGGGAAAATTAAAAAAAAAAACATAAACTCGTCCTTACTCGGACCTAGGAGAATCTGGATGCCAACTTTGGTTATTCTAGCTTTTATAGTTTCTGAGATCCTCGCGTTCATCCAGACGGACGGACAGACGGACGGACATGTCTAGATCGATTTCTCTCATCATGCTGATCAAGAATATATATACTTTATGGGGTCGGAGATGCTTCCTTCTGTATGTTACATACTTTGCACAAACCTAATATACCCTTTTTACCCTACGGGTACAGGGTATAAAAAGAACTCATAGATCTTCAATTGTAGGTTAATCACTACCACGAGGCTTTCGTTTGATCGACACCTATAATATGTCGAGACCATATCGGGAATAACATATATGGAATTGTTTTAGCAATATTTATGTTTTACAACTCGTGGGTCAAACACATTGTCCACGGATGATGAAATACATTAAAAGAACTTTGAATTTCCAATTACTTAGTGGGTTGATCTTGTGAAACGCAATGAAGAGTATACTAAACCAGCTATGTAGGTTAATATACTTGTTCACATATAATAAGGTAATTCCTAGATACGGACCATATTTCCTACAATAATTGCAAGTAGTCTATGAAAAGTGGGCGGTCGAAATCTTAAAATGTGCTTAGTGCTCGTGCCATTTACCATCTTTGTAGTGACAGCTTCAACCAAAATGGCAGAAGTCGACATGGCTCGTGGGTCACCATCGATCTAGTCACCATCTTCCATAAGTGTTACAAATAAAGTGAATTTTCAAATATATGTGCAGCATATTACTTATAGTTTTTCAACATCTTCGATGTTTAACAAATCATCAATATACTTCTTCACATATTTTGTTTTGTTTTCATACAATTATTAAAGCGAACACCTGGTTTTTAATGGCTTGCAGCATTTTTAAATATAAATTCAACCATTTTGAGTCCAAACTATGTTGATTGTCCACTAATTCGCTCAATTTAATTACTCACATGAAACCTTTTGAATGTCTTTGTGCGATATTTCGATGCACTCATGCAGAGCTCTAATATGGCACTGCGGGTGTATTGTACATTTCCGTTTCGAAGTATTCAGCATTATTGATGTGGTGCGTGCGGTCAGGCTAATTGAAACCGCAACGTACTATGTGGAGGCCGACTTACAAGATGAGGTAATATATTATTACCATATTTTTGCGAATCATTTAAAATGCAGGACCTCTGCATGTGTGTGACGTGTTGTTTATGTTTCACCGGAAATGAGTTTGTTTTCGGCTCATGTGGCAATTATGTGGTCGGCCCTGGACGGCACAGTCGTGCGCACATTTCAAAAGTTGCAAATGCTCAAAAGTCTTACGAAATGTGGAACGTTGTAGAGTTCATGTAAATCCTAAATCCGATTAGCCTTTGTGCGCCACGCACGCACACACACTGACACATAAGTACGCAAGACACGTCAAAGCGTATCACTCGGCTGCATTGTCATAATACTTCCGTTTCACCCCCACCCCATCATCCCCACTCCCGAAAAGGCCATATTGTCCATTTATCACCGAAACGTGTTTACAAACATCATTAAAAATGTAAATGAGTTTGTTTGTTTGCAATGTGCGGTGGGCGGTATGTGTACTGTGTTGTGTAGTGTAGTGTGTTATATGTGTTATGTGCTGTCGTCCTTGTCGTTCGCCATTCGTTGGGCTCTCGCAATTATTTGGACACTTGGGACATGTGTGCTTGCATTTTGCATGAATTGCCGGGCAGTGCACCGTTGGTGGCCCTCCGGTTAGTATATTTCATCTATAATTGATTCTGTCTGTGTGCGGGAGTCCATTGGTGGGCATTTAAAACTATGTTTAACTACATGCGACCTATTGTTGCATCTTTGTATGCAAATAGAAACCATATATTTTAGGCAGTTAGTCTGTGGTCCGCTTTTCGGGACGAAGTACTCCTTTAAACTTTCAAAGCCTTGGGGCTACTAAAAACACACATAGTTAATTCATAAGTATTGGCAAAAGCCTATGTTTATTCCATTCCACTTGCTATTTGGGATAGCTTGCGATATCTGTATTAGCGACCGCCATCGCTACAGTTAGGTTAGGTTAGTATGAGTGAGAAATGTGTGGCTCATTCAAGTGGCTAGTTATGGAGCAAACAATTTTTCTGTGAGGAAAGCTATTCTCTGCGACTATAAGGTAACTATACCAGTCCAAGGGCAAGGGATAACTGACTATCTGACAGTGCTTTGAAAATGTTGTTTTAATGCTTGAAAATCTCAAATCACAACTCGGGCCGAAGCATTAAAATTGAAAAACTGAATCATCATTATAAAGTAGTATGTAATGGCTTCAGAGCATTACTATTATAAAAACAATTCTGACAACCCCTAAAGTTTGCACGATTATTGTCTCAGTTCGTAGTTCATCCATTCTCAAGACTATTGAAACGACTTTTCTACCCATTTCAGGGTAGATATTACTGATACAGGAACCAATGTCTTTCCCTTAAATATTTCATTGAATATTACAATCGATTTTACGGTACTAGCTGTAGAGGCATTAAATAATATGTAATCTGTTTCTTTACAATAATATATGCTCCTCGACTAACTAGACAATCTTGTTTCTTGCTATTAATTTATATTTGTTCTTATTTTCAGGGAGCTGTGTGGTCCAACGTCCGCATCAGAGCGATCAATTGATACGCGAGGGAAGCAGCAAAAGGGTAAGTGCCGCTTAGCTCGATAATTCACAAATCAATTATTTAATCAGTTCATCAATTTAAATTAATGCATAGAACTTTACAAGTTAGCCACCTCGAATTTAAAATAGTTTAATTACAATTCCACCAATTTAATTTGAAGTTTGCAATGCGTTGCTTATAGAAAAAAAAGTTGTGGTAAAACCAAGTGAGTCGTAAGTGTAGGATCACAAAACGGTTTACTTAATTTATATAGAAAGAATGAATGTAATTTGCACCAAATACACGTCAAACTGCAGAACTGAACTTAACACCTTAACGGACGGATCACGACTCTCTTAACGAGTGCATTTTGCTTGTGTCGAGTGCAGACTGTTCTATCGAATTATAATATCAATTACCTTTGTATCTCTCATTGAACACATCAAGTATGATTCGTAGGTAACTAATGGAAAAGCTTTCAAAAAACCAACAAAGTTTCTTTTTTCTTAGTACAACCAATCTGCTAATTTAGTAAAACCAAACAAAATCCGTAATTTAATTGAAAATGATTTTTGGTTGAGCATAGCCTCCAAAAAAATAGCATATAGCATTACATACATGCCGTATATCGTATGATCAATAAGTGTATCGTATCGATTTCGACGATGTACACATTAAATAAGTTTAGTTGCATCAAGTTTATTTTTATAGCCTCTTGATCAGGATGAGAAGCCGAGAGGATATAGCCTTGTCCGTCCGTCTGTCTGTCTGTATGAACGCAACGATCTCCGAAAGTATAAGAGCTAGAATAACCAAACTTGGTATACAGATTCTCCTGAGCCCGAGAAAGGACGAGTTTGTTCATTTTTTCTGATCCAACCCCCCATTCCCCCCTATTAAAGATTTTCTATAACTCCCGTAATTCTTGAAATTTTGGTAGTCACATTAGGTTAGTGATTATGTATTCATATACAAAGTTTCAATATGATAGAATGACCGGAAAAAAAGTTATAGCCATATAACCAGGCCCAATGCACACATACATACATACTTGTATGTACAAGTACACAAACACGCATAGACACGATTCTGATGTAAATGTATTTATGCATGTATGGAATATTTTATATTTAATTTTGTTAATTAATTAATTTAATTTAGTTAATTAATTTGATTACATTAATTAATTAATTAAATTACATTAATTAATTAATTTAATTTCTTTTTTGTGGGCTGGTACAGGGTATTTAAGAGTTGAGCCTGCTCGACTTTAGCATTCCTATCTTGTTTTTTTTTTCATTTTTCTTTTTTGTGGAGAGTACAGGCTATTTTATTGTCGAACTTGCTCGACTGCAGCGTTCTCTCTTGTTAATATCTCTATATATATAAAACAGTTTGTCCTGACTGACTGACTGACTGATTGGCAATCAACGCACAGCCCAAACGGTAAGAGCTAGGAAGCTGAAATTTGGACACAAGATCCCTCTTATAGTGAAAGTGAGCACTAAGAAGGGGTTTCGGAAGATTCGAGCTCCAAAGGGGGGAAAACGAGCTCCAACGTTTGTATAAAAAATCTACAATTTTTATCCAAATAACTTCAAACTTAGTTTGTATACTCTCACAAAGAATACAAAAAAAAACTCTATACTTGGATTTTTCCTGCGGCCTGAATAATAATGATTTTCCGGTGGAAAATTCGGTAAACGAAAAGCTATTTACAATCAACGCACAGCCCAAACGGTAAGAGCTAGGAAGCTGGAATTTGGACACATGTTGTCTTCAGTGGTGTAGGTGAGCACTAAGAAGCGGTTTTGGAAAATTCGAACGCCAAAGGGGGGAAAACGGGCTCCAACGTTTGTATGAAAAATCTACAATTTTCATCCAATTAACTTCAAACTTAGTTTGTATACTCTCAAAAAGAATACAAGAAAAACTGTATACTTGGTTTTTCACCATTTTTCCTGGGGCATGAAAAAGGGGGGGTTTTCCGTGGAAAAATTGAAACACAATCAACACCCCACAGCCCAAACGGTAAAAGCTAGGAAACTGAAAACTGGGCTCAAGTATCCTATCATGGTGTAGATGCGCACTAAGAAGGGATTTTGGAAAATTCGAGCTCCAAAGGGAGGAAAAGTAGCTCCAAAGTTTGTTTGAAAATTCTGCATTTCTGAATCGATCAACTTTAAATTTGGTTTTTATAATCTATAAAAGAATACAAACAAAACTGCATACTCGGTTTTTCGAAATTTGTGTTGGAGCTTGAATTATTGGGGTTTTAATATTTATTCATTTTTTCAAATGAAAAGTTTGTGTTATAAATTTTGTCCGATCGATTTCAAATTTGGGTAATATAATCTACGTAACTAAAATTACAACTTTGCATTTAACGATTTTTAAAATATGCATTTTACAAATGCAGGCAGAACAAACAATACAAAATATCAAACAGTTGGGGACAACTAAGTATACATACACACACACATACATATATACAAGCAGCTGTTCGTGTAGTTGCGTGCAAACGGTTGAAGTAGCCAAAGCAAAATGTGAGACACTAATGTGTAAATGTTCATTTGTACAAATGTATGTACATATATACATACATACATATGTATAAAAGTACATTCGTCTTGCACTGACAGGGCAAGAAATGTTAATTAATTAAAAATTATTAACATTATAACATAAACATTTTTATGTTATTTTTTCTTTGTTTAGTACATTTGGCATAAGGGATTTTAGGACAACGGACTACAAGGGCGTACGCAGGTTGGGCAGGGGGGACATTGCTCCCCTTAGAAAGAATTTCGCATTATGAATTACACCAGCACCATACGTATTACATACGTACATACATATATACATACGTCTGTATGTATAGTATGTACATATGTACATCAATAAGTATGTATGTACGTACATACATTCTTATATACATATATAGGTTTGTATGTATGCAGTGGGCCATCGAACACTGTTGTTTAATTGTAATAAATAGTGTTCTATGTTTTCAAATCAAAATTTTTAAAACAACAACAACAAGTTATTGGTTCGCAAAACTTCTTTCGTTTTGATAATTTACGGCTGTTAATTGCATACGAAAAATGCCAAAAGTTTACAGTTACCGTACACACACAAATACATTTGTATGTATGTATGTACATATGTGTACAGTGAACAATCGAATACAGTATTATAATCAATAACTCTCAAACGATGTTTTTCGATGTATTTGTATTCGACATGTATTACGATATATCAACACAAGTATCGATATTTTCGATATATCGCATTTAATTTTATTATTGGGGTTTTAATATTTATTCACTTTTTCAAATGAATAGTTTGTGTTATAAATTTTGTCCGATCGATTTCAAATTTGGGTAATGTAATCAACATTATATCAACAAATTGGCATTCAACGATTAAAATATAGCAATATGTTTTTTACTTGCCATATATCAAATATCAAATAGTTGGGGACATCACATACACACACTCACACATACATACAACAAGCAACAGTTCGTGTCGATGTGTGCCCATGCACACATACATATGTACCATACAAGCATATGTATGTATGTATGCCTGTATATGTATGCAGCATGTACATACAAATCAACAACAACAAGTTCAAGTTCTTGGCTCGCACATCTTCTTTCGTTTTGACCATTTAATGTTAATTGCAAAGGCAAAACGCCAAAAGTTTGCAGTTACCGTCGCTAAGCAACGACTGCGTAAGCGATAGTAAAGCAGAAACCGAATAACGGAGCTACGCATATTCTGCTTCGCATTGCGGGCAGATGTATGTATGTATGATTTGTTCTTATTGATCTCAATAAATAATTAGATTTTATTATTTAAATATTCTGCTTATTGCAAACTTCGATATTTTGATGGTATCGGTGGTTTCAACTATCGAAAGTTTTACTCTAGCAAATTGAGATGAGAATTGTCAGTGCTTTTTGATCGTGGCTCATCGCTGCACGGCATTGACACGAGTGCCGTGTTTCATATTCCGAGTTTGTGCGTGACCGTATTGACTCAATATGACACGAAAAGGCTCAAATGTGAATTTAAAATTAGGATATACCCTTATAATTATTCCCCCTTTTTTGCAAATCGTCTATCTTAAAACGTTGCGTTATCTCTATATATAAAACAGTTTGTCCTGACTAATTGGTGATCAACGCACAGCCCAAACGGTAAAAGATGAAATTTGGACTCAAGTATCTTTTCATAGTATCCATCATAGTGTAGGAGCACACTAAGAAAGGCTTTTGGAAAATTCTAGCTCCAACGGGGGGAAAACGAGCTTTAAAAAATATTAGTTATAGTGGTCATGTTCGTTTAAAGAAATAGTTTGGCAAGAACAAAAATGTAACGGACTACTGAACAATTTTTTGTCAAGAACAGAAAATGTTCATTTAAATACCTTAAATGCCTTCCTACTGGTAACTTATAAGGTGAAAACATATGGGTAGGTTATGCACACACAAAATAAATACAATTGGAAACATTATATTGAGCCGGGTTAAGACGGGCAATACCTGCTAGTTCTTATATACATATATAGGTTTGTATGTATGCTGTGGGCCATCGAACACTGTTGTTTAATTGTAATAAATAGTGTTCTATGGTTTCAAATCAAAATTTTTAAAACAACAACAAGTTATTGGCTCGCAAATCTTCCTTCGTTTTGATCATTTTCGGCTGTTAATTGCATACGAAAAATGCCAAAAGTTTACAGTTACCGTACACATACAAATGCATTTGTATGTATGTATGTGTACAGTGAACAATCGAATACAGTATTATAATCAATAACTCCCAAACGATGTTTTTCGATGTATTTGTATTCGACATGTATTACGATATATCAACACAAGTATCGATATTTTCGATATATCGCATTTAATTTTATTATTGAGGTTTTAATATTTATTCACTTTTTCGAATGGTCAAATGTGTTATAAATTTTGTCCGATCGATTTTAAATTTGGGTAATGTAATCAACATAACTATATCAACAAATTGGCATTCAACGATTAAAATATAGCAATATGTTTTTTACTTGCCATATATCAAATATCAAATAGTTGGGGACATCACATACACACACTCACACATACATACAACAAGCAACAGTTCGTGTCGATGTGTGCCCATGCACACATACATATGTACCATACAAGCATATGTATGTATGTATGCCTGTATATGTATGCAGCATGTACATACAAATCAACAACAACAACTTCAAGTTCTTGGCTCGCACATCTTCTTTCGTTTTGACCATTTAATGTTAATTGCAAAGGCAAAACGCCAAAAGTTTACAGTTACCGTCGCTAAGCAACGACTGCGTAAGCGATAGTAAAGCAGAAACCGAATAACGGAGCTACGCATATTCTGCTTCGCATTGCGGGCAGATGTATGTATGTATTGTGGTGGAGTTTGCACCACAAGTAAAACACGTCCGCTCTGTTTGCCAATCTGTTTAATACTGTCCTTTGGTATTCACAATCACTCGATATCATATAACATTCGATCATTCGATATCACACATGCTTACATGCCTATACTCATACTTATACTACTACAACTCGGCCATCCTGACCGGTAAAGATCTCCCGATCTTTTGAATTTCTTCTTTTTTTTTCTTTAGATATACTGTATACAGTATTTACAATATTTTACATTATTTTACAATTAATTACAATCATTAGCTAAATCAATTTGAAAAATTTCATTGAATGAATTTGTTTTCATTAAAACTATTGTTGCTTTTAGATAAGTCTTTCCAGTAACTTTTGGAAATTACATTTGTCATTTTTTCTATTCCTATATGCGTCATCTCATCGTTGTACTTATATAGTACATTATCTTCCATATCCTTAGGCACACAAAATACTATCACTTCTCTTTCTATAAATCACACCATTGCGCATTTCATAGTGTTTATGCTCCATCGTTTTTAGCTCTTCTATTAATTTATTTAGTGTTTCGTTGCGATCGGTGGCACGCTCTGTTGGGTAGTCAAAAATGTTTCCAGTAGTTGGCGCAAGAGGGCGCTGTACGGTACTAACTGCCTGACGTGTTGGTGATCTGCTTGTTTGGCGAACTGCTTGCTTTTTCAATGCTTCATTTTCTTTTCCTAGAAGGTCAATCTTTTTGTACAGAGCTGCAACGGTTGTTATGTTGTCAGCTTGGCCGTTGGCGTCTGTCGTAGAATTTTCGCGATCATTATTGTTGTTGTTGCTCTCGAACTGTACCTTCTGTGACACATACACACCAACGTCAGCGGCATCATCGTTATCTCTTTCGCACTCGTTTGGGTTTTCGCGCGAATCGTTTACTGTTGGCGACGATTCGGCGGCATTCCTTAGTTGTGCATTGGATATCATTTAAAGGCACCGCTTTTGGACGAACTTAAACGATTGGACGCAATTGCTTTGCGCTGAAGTCGCCATTTAATATGTCACTCTTGTCGTTTAAAATGTACTTTTATATGCATTAAGCAAATTCTCACACATTGGACTGAAAAATTTTAGGCCTTGTTGAGTATTATCCCACTTCTGAAATTGTGGTGGAGTTTGCACCACAAGTAAAACACGTCCGCTCTGTTTGCCAATCTGTTTAATACTGTCCTTTGGTATTCACAATCACTCGATATCATATAACATTCGATCATTCGATATCACACATGCTTACATGCCTATACTCATACTTATACTACTACAGTATGATTTGTTCTTATTGATCTCAATAAATAATTAGATTTTATTATTTAAATATTCTGTTTATTGCATTCGATCTTCGATATTTTGATGGTATCGGTAGCTTCAACTATCGAAAGTTTTAATCTAGCAAATTGAGATGAGAATTGTCAGTGCTTTTCGATCGTGGCTCATCGCTGCACGGCACTGACACGAGTGCCGAGTTTCATATTCCGAGTTTGTGCGTGACCGTATTGACTCAATATGGCACGAAAAGACTCAAATGTGAATTTAAAATTAGGATATACCCTTATAATTATTCCCCTTTTTTGCACATAGTCTATCTTAAAACGTTGCTTTATCTCTATATATAAAACAGTTTGCCCTGACTAATTGGTGATCAACGCACAGCCCAAACGGTAAAAGATGAAATTTGGACTCAAGTATCCTTTCATAATATCCATCATAGTGTAGGAGCACACAAAGAAAGGCTTTTGGAAAATTCTAGCTCCAACGGGGGGAAAACGAGCTTTAAAAAATATTAGTTATAGTGATCATGTTCGTTTAACGAAATAGTTTGGCAAGAACAAAAATGTAACGGACTACTGAACAATTTTTTGTCAAGAACAGAAAATGTTCATTTAAATACCTTAAATGCCTTCCTACTGGTAACTTATAAGGTGAAAACATATGGGTAGGTTATGCACACACAAAATAAATACAATTGGAAACATTATATTGAGCCGGGTTAAGACGGGCAATACCTGCTAGTTATTAATAAATTAAGTTACCAAATGTTTCTTATTAAAATATCTCTTATGGCTATTACAGGCATAAATAGCCGGTGGTATACTAATAGAACAAATTATTAACTACAAAATATCCTGAGCCCAGGCCTAATCGATCCAATATTTTTAAACTATTTTTACCTGAGTGTAGATGCTTTTAAATATAGATCTGAACATAAAAGGCGCAAGGACAAGCCCGTACGAAAATCAAATTATTCAATAGATGAAAACAGGTGCTAAATCAAAATATTATTATTAAATAGTTCTCTTAACTATGATTATTCGAGAACATTGACATTGGCGTTTGTGGTAACGTGTGTACATACATATACTATATTGTTCATCTTGTTAGTTTTGGAAATCCAGTGTCCAATGTCCGAAAAGAAATGTTTTTGTTTATTTCCCCCACTCCTATGTATATTTGTTCAATTAACTGCAACTTGTGGAATTTATAAATATAATTGTGCAAGTAGCGAATTTTTATTTTATCAAATGTGCTAAAGGTTCTGCATGGCTGCCAAACCATGCAAACACAACTATTTTAGCGTGAGCTCTGAAACTTGTGTGTTAAAATTTAAAATCACAACTGTTAACAAATGTATCTGTATATGTATGGGTGTGTTGGAGTAAAAAGGTAAAGCAATATAAGCAACAATGTAGTGTGATGAAGCAAAAGCAACGAAACGAAAAATGATATGAAATATATAGCTCCTCGCATACAAACAGACGGACTGACAGACGAACAAAAGGACCAAAACTACATAAAGCCATCACCAAATTGCGAACCAATTAGTATAAAATATAAGGATATGCTTGTAGGTTCGTGTGTGTGCCTGTATTAGCACAATAGCTACCTGTACATGAGGAGCTATATCCTAGTCCTACATTAATGATAGCTATGATGCAGCAAGGCAAATTTTAGTAAAAGACAATGGCAGTCACCACTGCGTATGCGTAATCCAATACCAACAGCAGGATCTGTTCCTATCATTATTATTATTATTTTTCAATTTTTCGCTGGTCTCCTTTTACTTTCAGATCTACTCTTTGGACGACGCGGAGTGTAGCGAACTGTGCAGCTGCGGAGAGTCCCTCACCCTCACTTGTCATGCACTTTGCGTGCCGTTCGCGCCCTGCCGCACGGCCCTGGCATTTTACAGTCATGCATCGCCGGCTTATCAGGCCTTTCGGGGGCGTTGTCTCTGCTACTCAGGCCGTTTCATCTGCATGAAGCCGCCACTCGGGGAGTACACGCTGCCAGGTGAGTGCACTAGCCACATAAATGCGAAAAGTCTTCAGGACTGTGTCTGTATTTTGTTATCCCTTTAATGATTATCATTTCGGACAGCGGTAGTAACCGCAAATTGATCCTACCAGGTGTCCATTTCAAGCAAGCAGACTGTACTTTATAATTTAAACGGACTTGAAGTTTATAGTAGCCGCCGTCTATAACAACGTTGCCATGCAACGGCAGACACAGCCCAAGTGATTGGCCACATTTTGCAAGCACTATACACTATTCTTATACAGACAGCTCCTTGATGAATTTGTGAGCATGTGTATATGTGTGTGAAACCTATAGCTCGTACTTTTTTTTTGCCACGCTTCTAGTGCACTTGCGCTTTGCCTTTGACATAAGAGCTGCACAAGGTTGCGTGGCTGCACAAGTAAACCTTTGTTGCAAGCTCAAGCACACAATATTTCCGAGTAAATCATATTTGCGCCTTTGTTCTACATTTTATGGCATTCTTGTTCCACCAGGCGGCGTCTTCCTACTCCTGGGCTACAGCTCAGCCGATGAGGCGCTGCTTCGGCCACACACGAATCTCGGCGTTCAGGACGCAGTGCGCGCTTTGCAGCAGTACGTGATGACATTCATCGATAATCAGGTGAGAGCCACACTGTGAAGTCAACGAGCAATAAAAATACATATTATTAATTGCATTTTGGTGTTGTGACTCACTTATAATACCTTGTATACCCTTCCCCTGCTCCTAGACCCAATGCACACTCACTTTGTTCAATATGACGGAGGAAAATATCATCATAGCTGCACGTTTGCCGCAGGACGCCAAGCTGAAGGCGATCGAGCAGTTGCGCAAAGAAAAGGTAAGTGTTTCTAAAAATGCTAGAAATTGCATGGAAAATGATTTCCCACTAATGCACTCGACGACTATTGCTCTATCTGTGCACTGGCAGGATGAATGCACATCGATATTGAAAACAATTAGTCACCACATCAATGCCGAGCATAATGAACTCCAATCCCACCGTCTGTTGAGCATTTTCAAAATGTCCGAAGTCGAAGTTATCTGGCCCGAGAGCACGAGTGGCGCAACTAGTCGCTTTCAGTCCATGCAAATCCTTATGCTCGCCATATTCTGGCTGGCACTGACTCTGGCAATGCGTCCAAACCAGAGGTCCAAGGAGCCAACATGACATTCCAGCTAGACGGTTCTGGGGAGCAATATTTGCTAGCTGAACGTAGGTATTATGTAAGTGTGGCGTAGCTGTGAGAATCATCGGTTCTTTATACATATATACATACAAATACTAAACTATATATACGATGTGAGTTCTTAGGCTTAGGAATAGCATATTGTAGTCAAATATACTGTACTGTACTTGAGAAAGGTTTGTGTTTGTGCTGAAAATTACGAATGGACGCGTGTAATCGATCAGGCGTCAAAACTGCTGTCTAAATAATAATTATATTAATGATAATTAAACCATAGGTCGCGCAAAGTTACTTACAGTATGCAAAAAGTACATATATCTATATATATACTTTTTATATATTGATAACCAAAACAGAGTAAATTATAATTATATGACATTAGTGAGACGTGTAAATAATCCACAATTAAACGATTAAAGTTGCAAAACAAAAATAGACGATACGGTTAATCAAAAAACACTTTTCTCATTTCCCTGCCTTTATCGTTTTATCTTTACTCACATTCACGCAATAAAGTGCAGCGCCAAAATGGCCGTTGGCAGTTTAAAAATTAACCATAATATTGTTCACTTTGTGTGAGCTGTGAATCCTTTCCGTTTTTAAATTTTAATTTATAATATTTTATTGTCCGCGCCTACCGACTCCGGCAGCCAAAAGAGCGAGTTTACGCCCGAACTGCACGCCGCTCATTTAAAGAACGCGAAATGTTATTGTTAATTTATTGCATAGTGTTTCTTCTCCATCCAGAACCATTTTGGCTTCTCCTTTACATTCCTTCAGCGTTCTTTGTACCCGGCCACGGTGCGAAAACAATTACGGTTTCAGTATCAATTATGCGCTGCGAACCGCCATTTAAATTGCTGCGGTTTTGGTCATTACCTACTGCAAAATACTCAAGCAATAAACAGTTCCATGCGTTATGCGATTGCATAAAGGAACTATTCTGTCCAGGCGACACTTACTCTTCATGAATCCATATTCGTTTTATGAACAGGTTTCATACTCACATCTTTATTTATACCTTTATTTATACCTTCTTAAGTTTGCTCTTCTAACAAACTTACACATCGTTAATAATTAATAAAATTCTAACAGTACATATCAAAACGAACACCTAAATATACACAATTAAGAATTACCAAAGCCTATACTATTATATGAACTTACTTTTTGTATTATATTTAATATACGAGTATATACTACGTACGTATTAATTCATACCTACTAAGATACCGTGAAAAATTACAAAGCGTAAAAAAAACTTCAAATTTAACTGTACATTGAGTAAAGCTTCAGTTGCGCCTTAAATGAAATATGTAAAAAATATCGAATCGTACCAAATATTGTAAATATAATATGTGCTACAAAAATAGCAACCGAGTAAACCAAAAAACAAAACACACCAACAAAGCGAAAACAAAAATTGAGTAAGCCTGCTCTATGAATATTAATTGAAAGTTTCACACATAGGTACATATGCATAAATACATACCACAACCAACATCTTTAATTTAAGCCTAACATAACTAAAACTTGGCCATTTAACAGAGTCGTCGGCTCCGACACAGCACAAGCCGCGTGGTCAAGTAGCAGAAAAGAAAATGTAGCATACTTTTGCGAGTGAAATGTGCGCATGATAGAATGGTCACAATCATGAAAAAATGTCTTCCTGAATGCATATACATGGCGATATGTGTTATGTTTATACATATAAATATATAGATATATATATATATATATATATATATATATATATAAATATATATGAGTTAGCATTACATAAATACATATATACCTATGGTAACTGCGCTATTGGTACACATTAGACTACGCTTCAGCTATAAAGACAAACTAGTCAAAATATACGTATATGGTAAGAACAAGGCAACCTATATTATAACGAATATCTTGCAAATTATAACACTGTTGACATTATTTATAGCAAATGGAAATTACTTAAACGCAGATTATTGAAAATACATACATATAACCTAAACGAATACAAATTCGAAAACGAATACTTATGGAAATACTCGTATACATCATACATACATATATATTAAATAACTTTAGCATAGATGCATTGCAAAATACTTTAATAGTCCCTAGGTCAGAACTACAAATGCTTTAAGGCGAGCAACACGAATTGTATAAAAAACTCGTACGTACGTACAGGACCTGCTTACCAAATTAAAACAAAAAACACCCTGTAGATTATCTTAGACGAATTTAAAAGTATAGCAAGAAATTCGATTTAGCCGCTGTCAATTGCGGTACAAAGGCGTGGAGAGAATTTAAGCTGCATGAAATCTGGTGGCAAATTAAAGTGACGCCAGTATACTATTCTTTTTTCTGTTTCCGCTACAATTTTTGTATACCACTTAATTGGTTATATATATATTTTTATCAAAGAAACATGTGAATTTTGTTTTCCTTTAGAGTAGTGTAATAGAAAAGCCAATAAAAATAGCCCAACTGCACCCTTAAGGACGTTCTAGTACATGTCTAAGCTAATCAATTACACGGAGGGACATCATGTCATACCAAACATATACACCAAACAACGTACAGTAGAGAAGTATCTATCAACATAAATATTGAAATTGTGCGTGAGAAATAGAAGATCTAATGTAAATTAATTTAATTACAGTAAGTGGACAAAAATGCAGGATTACTTGAGGGAGAATAAAAATATTCAATACGTATGTATGTATGTTATAGTTACATAAAACTAAGTGGGCTTTATGTTAGAATATAAAACTAAACTAAAGTATATGGATAAAATACCAAAAAAGGCAGATCAGCAACAAACACGATAGAGTTAAAAATAAACTAGGGGAAAGGCGATTGGCACATTTGTAATGAAACATTGTAAAACCGAGTAATAAAGAACGCATAAAAAACATGAGAGGAAAATAACAATTTTCATTAAACTATAATGCTGTTGGTCGATTGGGTAAGTATTAAATGTGGTTTTGAGCCGAAAATGTAAGCCAAGCCGTTTCTAAAAGTAGAAGTAAGTAAAGATTTTATTCTACTTTTGGCTCTCTCTCTATCAACTACTGATGGGTTTGCATTTGCATTCAGCTTTTAGAAAATTGTTCGCCATCCCACAACTAAAAAAAAGTACAATTCCCAAGCTACAGCTGACAATGCTTGGATGCTTTGTATATAAATGCAAATTGCAATGTTGGCAAACATGGAGCAAAAATAAGACAGACAGATAGACAAATAGGCAATAACAACAATGGCAACAGTTGTAGCAATTAGCGAAGAAAGAAGCGACCGGAGCTGCGTTTCACAAATATTTTGCGGAATATTTGGAATGCGGCTATGAAGTTCCTCGCGCACTGAGCACTTCGTTATTGACCCTCAAACTATGTGACACTATTGAGGCGAACAAAGGCAACGAACAATAGCCACAGTGCCACCAAAGCAACAAATATTGAAACACCAAGAATACCAACAACAATAACCCAAGTGGGCCATGCTACAAAAATGCCAACAACAGCGCCAAAGGAAGCCGAAAAAAGCCACACAATGCCTCTGCACGGCACAAAAGATGAAGACAATAGCGCCTAGTGCTCAAGGCAACGTTGCTGGTGCTGTTTCTGTCGTTTACGTTGTCACTGTCGTCACTGCTGCTGCTGCCGCTGCCGCCACCGTTACAATACCATTTCTTAAGCCCCACTTCCAAAAATCTCTTAAAGGCGTCTCACTCACATACTCACATACACCCAGGGACGCCTGCCCTTATGAAGCAGGGTCAATCATTGGCATGTTGCCAGCCAATTCGAATAATAAAGGGGAATCACACTATGCAATGTGGGGCACATCATCTTCCAGCCTGAATGGCCTTCCACGCCTACATATGCTTGCTGAGTCTGGAATTTATACTTCCACTTAATTAGGTAATAAATGATTGAAGAAATTATGTCTAGACGTGAGGACAATTTCGATGGCAAGGCGCACCAATGAAGGGAACAACAAAAACAAAAACTTGACTTGCAGCCAATTCATTTGGCACGTGAGGGGCTAAAATGTTACGAGTCTGAACATACAGACACATATGTGTGGCCTATTCATACTCAGAGGCAGCGCCGACTTGCTGCCGTAAACGTGTGTGGAATTTTTCACACTCACTCCTTTGTCGTTGGCTTGGCAAATTATTTTATTGACAATGCGAATGGGAACGTTGAAAATTGTAAACACGAAACCTTTTGCAGAGCCATACAATAGGTAGCGCGGCCACTTGGCGGTCCTCAATCCCCCGCTTTGTGTTACATCCCGCTACCAACATACAACCTGCAGTGTCCCTACAACACCACCTTGTCCAACGTGGCGACGCATTTGTCAGCCTTTTGTATGTTTGTTTAATTTCCGCCCGTTGCCAGAATGCGAAATTAATGAATCGTAATGAATGCGGGCCGTATTTTATTTTTCTGCCAACGGTTTTTATGCTGTTCCCCCCCCCCCCCCCCCACTCCCCCTTCCCCAGCCAGAAACTTTGCTTGACAGCCTGTGAAGAGAACGTAGAGTGCGAGTTGATTACTGGCAGTTCATTTGAGCTTTGCTGCTGTTCTTTCTATTACAGACGTGCAGAAACTTCCACACACTCACCACAATAGTGGGGGTCCACACTATCAGCTACATTTTACGAGTTTTGAATAAATTAATCCTTATACGATAATTATAATTCCAATTAAAATCCTCTACAGTATTTGCATCTTTCATCACACTCTTCATCATCGGCCAATCAAGGTTTCCACCGTTTAAAAAGTATAGTTATTTATAAAATAAATTCCCATATAAAAGACGTTTTTTATTTTTTGAAACTATTTACTTCTATTTTTTCAAGAATTTAAATAAGGACAGTGTAATCAAAGGTTAATATAAAACAAGAAAGGAATGCGCGAGTCGGGCTTAAATACCCAGTATCCACTCCCAAAAAAAGGAAAAAAATTTAAATTTTTAAATATTAAAAATTAAATTTAAAATATTACATTAAATAAAATAATTAAATAAACAAATTTTCAATACATACATAAATAAGTGGGAACATATATGTGCAGTACAGAATTAAGTCAACAAGCATCAACAACAACAGCTCCAGGCAAAGCTTGGGCCGGGATTATATTTATGGCGATCAATTTATTTCTAATTAATCTATCATTATGAAACTTAATATACGGATATATAATCAATAACTGGATGTGACTACCAAATTTAAAATTCCAAGAATTAGGTGAGTTATAGAAAATTCGAAATAGCGGAGCAGTGTATCAGAAAAAATGAACAAACTCGTCCTTCCTCGGACTTGGGAGATTCTTGATACCAAGTTCGGTTATTCTAGCTCTTATACTTTCTTAGATTCTTGCGTTAGTACAGACAGGCGGACATGGCTATATCGACTCGTCTTGTCACCCTGATGA